CCGTAGTCTCTGTTCCTCTCACCCCGCTCTCTCTCTCGAGCCCACTCCAGTCAGGCTTCAGCCATGGCACCACTCTTAAAAAGTTCTGGTTAAAGTCACTGATACCCTCCAAGTTGCTCAATTTAGTGGTCATTTCTCAGTCCTTGTTTTCCTTGGGCTCTTAGCAGTTCTCCTTGACTCAGGGACACGTGGTCTCCTGGATCTACTCCTCCCTTTCCAGCTGATCCTTTGGCTCCTTTACTAGCTCCTCCTCAGCCTTCTGACTTCTTGTTGGCAGAGAACCCAGGACTTGGCTCTGTTTTTTCTGTCCACTCTCATTCCTAAGAACAATCTTACCTATAGCTTTAAATACCATCTCTGTGCTGATGGGTCCCAAATGTCTGTCCCCTGCTCAGACCTCTCCCCTGAACTCCAGACTTGTATATACTGCCACCTACTTGGCCACCTGAGTTTGGATGTCCAGTGGGCATTTCACACTTAAGAGGTGCAACATCAACCACCTGACCGTCCCTGCCCTCGGGTGTTTCTCTTGGTATCTCCGTCTCTGTAAATTGCAGCTTCATCCTTCAGTGGCTTAGGGTTCTGCTCTCACACAGTCCTGCCTCTCAAGTCCCACCTTATAGCCTCAGGAAGTACTATAAGGTTTCCTTTGACAATATCTAGAATGTGATCACCTCTCAAAACCTTTATCCCCACCTGGGTTATTATAACAACTCCCTTTCTGCTCAGAATCTTTCACAGTCCAGCTCAGCATGTCTGAAACCACGCTCCTGATCATCACCACACACCCCCCCCCCCCCGCTCCTTACACACACACCTAGCTCAGAGTACAAGCCTAGAGTCCTTGTCACCTGCCAGGACTGGGTGTCTGACCCCATATTAACTTCTCAGACCACTCTGCACTACCGCCCCTGACCTCCTTTGCTCCCTCCAACTCAGACCACACTGCCTTCCTCACTGTTCTTCGAGGTGTATGTGGGCTGTCCTGTCTGACTGGCAGGCTCTTCTGCACATGGCTCACCGCCTCACCTCATCTCTATTCAGTTGTCCCTTCATGGGTGCAGCCTTCCCCACCTACCTGCAAGACCACAGCACCACCCCTCCCTCGCCCACCCCCTTCTCTGCTTTACTTCTTATATTGTACTTGTTTACTAAACAAGTAAATCCATCTCTCTGTTCCAGATTATAAATTCTATGAAGACAGAGATTTGTGTCCCTTTTGTTCCCTGCTGAATCTCCCAGCAGGTGAATGTTTGTCACTTGTTGGTCAGTAGCTGTTCGTTGAGTGAATGAATGAATGAATGAATGAGGAAGATAGAGGAAAAAAGAGACCAGTGAGAAGCACAGAATCCAGTGGGGGCTGGGTTAATAGTTCAGGCAAAAGGCCCTTCCTTCCCTCTAATCGATACCCTTCCTTGAATCGTCATTTTCCTTTTTAAAAAATGCATTGTTCTTTCTCATTGAAACATAAACCCCTTGGGATCAAGGACTGAAGTTTTACACCTTTGTTTCCCAAGCAAATAAATGTTGAGTGATAAGAAAAGATCATTCTCATTTGGCTAAAAAAGCACTCCTGTCACTCAATTTTGTACAATCTTTCCTTAGGCTAGTATTTTCCCCTGTTATTGTCATATTGGCTTGATATTACAGAATTTGCATATCGTCCCACCGAATGAATGCTCCTGCTAAGCAAGGACTCTTTAGACTAAACAGGGCGAATCCACGAAGTGGCGACTTCAGGTGGTACCAAGGACTGGTGGTGGCTTCTGTGCGAGCCCAGCGGGTGCCGGTCTCCGCAACAGCCGTCTAACCTGCCCCCACACGCTGCTTGGCAGCTGTCACACATCAAGGCATTCATCAGCTCTAGGGCAAGAATCATTCTGTTCCAACAGATGGACAGGCATCTAACCAGACCATAAACCATGTATGTGCCGTAAATATATTTGCTAAGGGCATGATTCCCAGTGCAAAACTTCAAGAACAGCTGTCTTAGCGTGAGCTACTGTTTCTTCGTGAGATGAATGATTACCCAATTCTGAAACAGATGACATGTATGAAGTTAGTCTTTCCATGGCTTCCCCACTACCAGCGGCCTTGTTATTTTGGGTGTAGTTTCTGTAAACAAAAGTTACTTATGTGAGATTTTAAAAAACTAATGAGAGGTTTCCTTTGGCAGATTTGGTGTCATTTGTCTAAAAGGGGTGGTTACATTTTGTGTGTTTCTAGGGGATGCAAATTACTAATTATGAGCATTTTTTAATGCTTTTTCCTTTTAGTACTTTTGTTAAATTACTATATAAACTACTACTTAAATGGTGTTAGCTGTACAATTCCTTAAAAATACAATTATTTCGTCTTTCTGTTTCTTTCTGTCATTGTCTTCAGAAAAGATGCTTTCATTCTCCCGACATTGCTTTCCCTGTGGAACCGATGCGAATTAAAATATGAAGTATTTGTTCATTTTGCATTCATCAGAGGGTAGCTTCTATTGGTGTACGTTTTCATAAGCACAATCCAGCAGGCAAAGTATAAATTGCTGTAAAACTGGAAAAGTGTTTGAATGAGTAAAGCAGATGTTCTCTTAGCATGAAGCAGATGTAAAACTTGCAAGTGTCTGTCTAATAAAGTCTAGCATTTGGTTCCATACAGCTGGTGCCAAGATTACCAATTAATCATGTTTGAATGCTTTTTTACTAATTAGGACCCCCTCTGTTCTTTATACATTCTGGGTATAGTAAAGAGAGGGGTGGAGCACTAAAGCTTTCTGCCTTTGTACCCTGAGCAGTGTTTTGTTGTTGTTGTTTTTTTCCTTTTTTCCCCATCTTTGCGAGGCCAGTCTTCTTTTATTCTTAGCCCCCTTCATGTGAATGATTGATCTGGCTCTCCAGTTTGATTTGGGGATATAGGTTTGACATTAGAATATTCCATTGAAGACAGCCGTACTTTGAACACTTTAAGGCAGCTGGAGAGAAGAAAAGGAATGTAATTAGACTTAATGGGGTTTTTTTCCCCTTATTTGCATGAACAAAAGCTAACATTTGCTCAGTTAACATCATTTCACAGCCTCTGTGGCTACTTGACCAAGTAGGAGTGTGAACATTATGGAAAAAAGTGATACCAGTCTAGTTTTATGTTAAGAAAAGCAGTAGAGCAGTTTTTCTCAAAAATTAAAGATGAATGGATTAACGTGACTGCTAAGAATTGCCTTTACTGCTGTGAAAGATACAACACAAATCAGTAGCAAATGCAAAAGCTCAAAGAGTTCCATCGTTGTATATTATCCTTTTTATAAAGCAAGTGTGCTAATGAAAGTAAATTTCAGAACCTGACTGGGCCTTTGTTCCATGTTTGATTTCCCCGAGATAAACCTGTTTTCTATAGAAGGAAGCTCATTATATAAGGTTTGCTACTCTGCCCCTCCCTCCCAGTTTTTTAAGAAAGAGTGAACAGTGATAAACAATGATAAACACAAGTTTGTTTCTCAAGGTCAATAATTGGATATTTATATTCAGATAACTGAGTACTTCTTGGAGTGCTTTATTCATGAATCAATTTGTAATACTTTTTGAAAGGATAGGAGAAATATTTAAAGGATAGAAGAGATACATGAAATAATTTCAGGCCTGAAGGTAAGTGGCATGAGTGGTTCTTTCCACGAAATGTTTATTACAGTTTGAAAAATAGTTGGAGGTAGGGGAGAAAAAACAAAGGTGTGTTAAAAGAAGCTTATCTCCTAGAATGTACCATGTTTTATGTTTAGCAGCTTCCACCAGTAAGGTTGGGTTTGTAGAATAGGGATCAGCTATGGTAGTAAAAACAGAGATGGAAATACACTTCTACAGCCTGACTTCTTAAACACTGGTGTAAAAGAGTCTGTAATGACAAATTATCATTTCATTCATTTATACTGTTATATATATAGAGAGAGAGATATAATATATGTGTATATATTTGAAATACAGTATTTAAGAATATTAATATGATTATTCCAGAATGTCCTCCCCATCCTCACCACCATATGCCTCCAGATTTTGTTAATGATTTAAATTTTAAATTTCATAAAAGCATCTTACAACCGAATTGACTAATAGCTGTCACTTTCAATTTTCAGTTCTTCTAAAATTGAATACTTAACTTAAAAGCAGTTAACTGTTGTATCCATTTGCCTATGTGAGCATCTTTCCACCAGGGTGACACTTGGCACACTAAAACTCACATGTAAAAAGATCTGCCCCGTTTCACTCAGAATACCTTATAGTCTTAGAATAAACAGAAAGTTATTAATTTTATATAATACTGTTAGCTTTTTTTTATTTATTTTTATTTTTTTTTTATTTATTTGACAGAGAGAGACAGTGAGAGAGGGAACACAAGCAGGGGGAATGGGAGAGGGAGAAGCAGGCTTCCCGCAGAGCAGGGAGCCCAATGCGGGGCTCGATCCCAGGACTCTGGGATCATGACCCGAGCCGAAGGCAGATGCCCAACCGACTGAGCCACCCAGGCGCCCCAATACTGTTAGCTTTTAGGTAGGTGTCTAATGCAATTATAGTTCTTTTCATTTGGGAGATTTTTTTTATACTGTCCCTATTTTGATTCTCACTAATATTACATAAGATTGGTGGTATGTTTTGTGGCTTTTTTTTTTTAGTTTTAATCTGTGTGAAATAAAAACGTTAACTGTGAAACATCAACATAAATGGAACTAGTTGTCTCCATTTTGTAAAATCGTTTGTTATGGAAAGTTTTAAACATCCGCAGAAGTAGAGAGAATCATGTAATATACTCCTGTAATTCCCACCCAGTTTCAACAATTACCTACCTCCTACTGTTTTGGTTTGCTAAGATTTCTTAAGACTATATTTCGAGAGTTTTTTTTTTTTTCCTTTTAAGTTGTAGTTTTGGATCCTGTTTCTGCAGTGACAATAGATATTAAAACAAACAAACAAAACAAAAACAAAAAACTAGGTCACGTAAACCCAGTAGACCTAACTTTGTTTCAGGAAGTGGAGCGAGAAATCTCATTCAGAACAGAATGTGGGCTGTATTACTCCTACTACAAGCAAATGCTGCAGGCTCCGACCCTCATGCAAGGTAATTACAACTAACAGCTTTATGGGGATCTACTTCATCCTTTTCAATATTTCAGCCAAACCTACTTATGCACTCAAGCATTTTAAATGCTTTCTAGAACTTGTGCACTTTTTTTTTAAACTTGTGCAGTTTTTCCCTGCTCAAGTAACCAGTGTTTTGCTTTGGAAGAAGTTCTGTAATACCTAATGTAACTCTCCTCTCTTCAGCTCTGTTCCATCCCAAAACTCATCTGTTTGCAATTTCTTGGTTTTGCTGCAGTTTTTTTCTCATGATCGTTTTGGAAAAGGTCTTTGCAAGTGAAAGGAGTATTGTCTAAAAACAGGAGGCATTTTGGTCAGACAGACAAAAATTACAGTTGTCCTTCTTGTCCCCAGTGTCCCCATTCGGTCCTTTATTTTGCAATTGCCATTTCCCCACGTTTTCGCTGTTTGTGAGTGGTTTAGAGCCCATAACCTTTACCTTGACTCCACTAATTGAAACCCCAGAAAGGATCTCTCCTACTTGCTGTGTGCTTGCTATGCTCAACACGATCACGCACAACAGAGACATTTGCTGGGCTTTGCTTGGATTCGGATGCATTTTTGGCAAGAATCCTTCGTGGGTGATGTTTTGCACTTCTAATTCTATCACAGTAGGAGACATGAAAAGTTGGTTATCTTTCTTTCTGCGCTCTTAAGTATCAATCAGTTGGTTCCTGTGTAGATAGCCAGGTTCCCCCATAATAAGATTATTACCCATCTGCCTTTCATTTACTTGTTTTAGCAGCCATTGATGCCTGTTGCCTATATCTATAGTTACAAAAGTGACATTCTGCGTTCCTCTTGTATTTGTTAGCTGGAACTCTGTTATTTAAGAAACCTTTTTCTCATCAACTATTTGATGACCCTGAGGTACAGTTTATACAACAAAGGCAGGATAGGTGTTGATTTTCTTTCCCTATATAGTTGATCCTCTTTATTCATGGAGTCCATGAATTTTGCAAATTCACTTACTAAAACCTATTTGTAACCCCAGAATCCGTACTCATGGTGCTTTGGCAGGTATTTAGGGGCTTGTGCAGAGCAGCGAGAATGTTTAGTCACCTGGCTTACATGTTCCCAGCTGAGGTGGAACGAGGTGATGACTGCCATCTCGTTTCAGCTCTCCTTCTACAGTGTCCTTTTCACGGTCTACCTAGGGCCATGCTTTTTGCATTTTTCTGCTTTTTGTTGGTGATTCTGCAGTTTGAAATGGCCCCCAGCATAATGCTAAAGTGCTGTCTGGAATTCCCAAGTGCATGCAGGCCGTGAAGGCATACAGAGAAAACACATATGTTAGATAAGCTTTGTTCAGGCATGAGGTAGAGTGCTGTTGACCATGTGTTCAGCATTAATGAATTGCTCATATAAAAGAAGGTGTCTTTAAACAAAGACTCGTAAATCAAGGTCATGTGTCGATCAGTTGATGAAAATGCATGAGCAGAGGCTCATAAGAACATAACCCTGTATTTCCTACAGGGCTCAGTATTGCTAATTCAGTGTTCACTGCAACTTTATGGAGCATAACTACTGAGAGCAATGAGTCAGTGAGTTCTCAAAATTGTGATTTGCTTCTCTAGGATCCTCTAAAGCAGTGGTTCTTATCGAGGGGCAGTTGTGTCCCTAGGGGACATCTAGAACATCCAGATACGTTGTTGGTTGTCACAGCTGGGTTGGGTTGGGGAGGATTGTGCTACTGGAATGGGCAGAGGTGAGGGATGTTGTTACACCTCCTACAATGTCTCAACAACAAAGAATAATCAGGCCTCAAATGTCAAAATACCAGTAGTGTAAAGTTGAGACACTCTGCTCTTAAAGATGAATAATGGGTATTTTCTTTCGAATTATTACCATTATTATCTCAATGGTTCTTCTGTTTCACTTCCTCTAAGTCATTTGTTAAGATCTTCCTTCTAGAAAATTTCAAACATATAAAAGGGTAGAGAGAATCCTCTGGTGGATTTTCACATGTCTGTCACCAGCTAACACAGTTACCAACTCATAACCAATCTTGTCTCCTTTCTGTACCCCATTTTCAAACCGGATGATTTTGGAGAAACTCCAAGACATCATATTTCTGCATTTGTAAATATATCAGTATATTTCTCTAAAGAATGGTAACCCCTTTTCTAAATATTACCACATTGCTATTATCACACTTAAAGCACTATTAGGAGATTTCTTACTATCAAATATCTAGTCAGTGTTGTCATTTTTCTGATTGTCTTCCAGAGTTTTAATACAGTTTTTGAGATCCAAATAAAGTCCACACATTGCAATCATTTGTTCTTTTTTTTTTTTTAAGATTTTATTTTTAAGTAATCTCTACACCCACATGGGGCTCAAACTCACAGCTCCAAGATCAAGAGTTGCTTGCTCTACCGACTGAGCCAGCCAGGCACCCCTCTCTCTGTTTCTTTTAATCTGTAGATTTCTTTCCATCTTCTTTTCTTCAATTTTTTTGTTGAAAACACAGATTCATTTGTCTGATAGAGTTTTTCACTTTCTGGATATTGCTGGAGCCCCATGGTGTCATTTCATGATTCTCTGTTGCCTGCATCTCCTGTTAATTGGTAGTTAGATCTAGAGACTTGCTCAGGTCTCGGTTCTGTTTTAGCAAGAGTACTTCCTACGTGGTGGTGTACACTTCCACACCAGGCACATGATGTGCACTATCTCATTTAGGGTCGAGACTGACCCATTAATAAGTTCTCAATTAGCCTTTCACCTAATTAGGGTTAGCACCATTGGTGATCATTGCCTGAATCTGTTAATTTCATAAGGACTATAAAATAGAGGACATTGTCATACTTAATTTTTTTCCAAGCTGATAGGTGAGAAATGGTATCTCAATGTAGTTTTAATTTGCACTTCCCATAGGAGCGAGGTTGAGCATCTTTTCATACGTGTAAGGACTGTATGCATGTTTTCTTCTGTGAACCATCTCTTCAGACCTCTGTTAATTAGTTAGCTTGGTTACAGTGGCAGATGACCTCAGTGTAGCCGCGGAATTCTGTAACAACAGGCTAATTTCTTCCTTTATTATCCAGCCCCTATTTGGAACCTGCTGTTGTCATGACAAAGGGAAATAATCACACTGCTGGTGGAAACAGACATCGTCTTTTATTAAAAGATGTCACATCCTCTCACATGCCATTGGTCAGAGAAAGTCAGTGGCCAAACCCGTAGGCTACTTACAGCCCAAAGGAGGTACTGTAGGTCTCATGGCGGGAGGGCAGAGTGGGGACATAAAATCCTCTTGGCCTAAATTTCTGTAAAAGAACGTATGGGTTTTTGTTTTTTTTTTATCATACTCACACAAGTTATAATTTACCTGTATTTATGTAAACATGTGAATGTCCATCTAATATACAGTAAGCTCTTTGAGAGTGGGACTGTGTTATTTGCTTACTATCATATCCCCAACACCTAGCACATTCTCTGGCACGCACTAAAAAAATCTATGAATAGTTTTAAATGAATGAATAATTTATAATTCTTTTTTCCTGATCTTTCAAATATCAACCTTAGGTTTTCATGGCTTAATATATGATAACAAAACTGAGTCTATGAGGACAATTAACCTTCTTCAACGAATGAATATTTACCAAGAAGTTTTCCTCAGTATTTTGTATAGAGTCCTGCCCATACAGGTATGTTGTGTTCTGTGACATTGAATTGTTAATACCACACGAAAGTCAAAATCTGCTATTTTAAGTTGCAACTTTCACATGTGTTATTCTGATCTTCCACTGGCTTGGTAGAAAAGCAACAAAATCCTAATTTTCTCCAGATATGTTTTGAACTTTGCTTTTTATATATGTTTTTATAAGATATTTTTTCTCCTTTTTATTTTATTTTTTTTAAGATTTTATTTATTTGACAGAGAGAGAGAGAGGAAGAGAGCACAAGCAGGGGAAGATGCAGAAGGAGAGGGAGAAGCAAACTCCCTGCAGAGCAGGGAGCCTGATGAAGGGCTCAATCCCAGGACTCTGGGACCATGACCTGAGCCAAAAGCAGACGCTCAACTGACTGAGCCACCCAGGCGCCCCTATAAGATATTTTTTTACATATAGGTGCATCCTGGCTAATAATACATGCATGCAGCCTAGAGGCTGGTACATATTTTCATTTAGAAACATGTAATCATTCCTCCCTTATCTTTAAATTAAAAAAGAGATTGGAGATTCGCAAATCACAGTGACTACTCCGTGTGAATGAGGCAATACTGGACACAGTTAGATGTAAGGCTTATCCAAAGAATGAAGCCAGAGTTCTCCAGGCCTTCCTTCCCTTTCCCACTCTGCTAGTAAGAAGAAAGGCTGCCAGCACACTTTTGCCCAGAAAGGACTGATGGAGGCTTATTGCTTGTAATTAACACCCAGTTGCTGAATATTAAATTTCCACTGTCATATTTTTTGTAATTTTTTTTTGTAAGTAGGCTCCACACCCAAGGTAGGGCTTGAACTCTGGACCCTGGGATTGAGAGTCACATGCTCTTAGCGAATGAGCCAGCCAGGTGCCCCTCACTGTCATATTTTTTAAGTGACAATGAAAAGATAATGAGGGCTTCCATAACAAATATTTTTTATTGTTCCTTTTTCCAGAAATATTTAGAGCCAGTTTATTTTTATATTTATACCTTGTTTGGACTGCAGGCGATCTATGTCACAGCCCTGTACATAACCAGCTGGCTCCTTAGTGGGACATGGCTCTCGGGGCTTCTAGCAGCGTTCTGGTACGTCACCAATAGGTGAGTTGCAATCAGTAGCCCTTCTCCCTTTCTAAGATGGAAGTGAAAACAAAGGTCCTTGATTTCCAGTTCAGAGGAAGTTGTTCGGCCACATTGGTTTGTATGGGAGTATTTTCTCTTTGGTTTTCCTAGTGGTATTTACTTGTCTTATAATTAGCAAGGTAGAAAGTCCTACTTATATATATATTTCCAGCTGAGGAAGAGAACATTGAATGACAAGTCAATAGAATCATCATAATAATTCCTGTGCTATTACCAGTTGGATGTGTGATCAGTATTTCTCTGGCCACATGTCTCCTCTCTTAAAGACGTTTAATAGTATCCTTACTGTCAACCTTGATAGGATTGTGTTTGGCTCATAATTAGCAAAGCATAAAGCACTGTACAAATGTAAGGAGGTTCTTACATTATTTAGTTAATATTATTCTAAATACTAGAGTATGAAATAGCATTTTTTAAAAAGATTTTATTGATTTATTTGAGGGAGGGAGTGAGCATGAGAGGGGGAAGGGCAGAGGGAGAAGGAGAAGCAGACTCCCCGCTGAGCAAAGAGCCCAACATGGGGCTTGACCCCAGAACCCCGGGATCATGACCTGAGCCAAAGACAGACGTTTAACCAACTGAGCCACCCAGGTGCCCTGAAATAACATTTTTTGAAAAACATAGTCAGGATACATTGAATTATTGCTTGACCTACAGTAGCAACACCAGTATTCAGTAGGAGTCTTAAAACTTCAGCACCAAGTTCTAATATTGATTTTATTTTGTAATCCTAAGCAAATTACTTCTTTTTTTTATTTTATTTTATTTATTTATCTGACAGATAGAGAGCAAGAGAGGAAACACAAGCAGGAGGAGTGGGAGAGGGAGAAGCAGGCTTCCCGCTGAGCAGGGAGCCCGATGCGGGGCTCGATCCCATGACCCTGGGATCATGACCTGAGCCGAAGGCAGACGCTTAACGACTGAGCCACCCAGGCGCCCCAAAGCAAATTACTTCTTCTTATAACCTTATTGAGTGCTACTTTATGCTAACCACTTTAAAAATGCTTTATATATATTCTTTTAACAATCCTATAGGATAGATATTATGATGGTTTTAGAGATGATGAATTTTTTTTAATAAAAGATTTTATTTATTTGAGAGAGAATGAACATCAACAGCAGGGAGGGGCAGAGGGAGAGGGAGAAGCAGGCTTCCCGCTGAGCAGGGAGCCCACTGAGGGGCTCCATCCCAGGACCCTGAGGTTATGACCTGAGCCAAAGACAGATGCTTAACCAATTGAGCCACCCAGGCGCCCCAGAGAGAGGAAATTAAAGGTTAAAAGGTTAAGTTTTATATATACATACATATATATATATGTATGTATGTATGTATTATGTATATATATACACATACACACATACATACACACATATTACTTAAAAAGTAAAGGTGTTTGTATATATATATAAAGTCATACACACACACACACACACACACACACCCGGCCCCAGCTTAGCCTCCATCAGAATTCAAACACAGAGTATGAAAACACTGTTATGCTACCTCTTAACATTTTAACATAGTATTCTTGCTAAGAGTAAATGAAAGTCAAATCTGTTGTTCTATCAAGAGGAAAGAGAAGACATTTATTGAATGCCTAGTCTGTGTGGGGATGCTTCTTGGTACTGGGTGTACAAAGGTGAAAAATTAGCTATACTTACCGTCTGATGGTTCACATTCCAGAGGGACAAGAAGCTTTTACAAATTATTTTTTTTTGGTATAATATTTATACAAATTATTATTACAAATTATTCCAATGACAAAGATTCAGATCTAAGCACCAAAGAAATAGAGGGAGAAATCGACACGTTGCCAGTTTGCACTGATAACTTTGAGGGAAATAAAAGTTGGAGGCAGTTAGGCATGAGTGCGTTGTCCTGGGTTTTGGAATCAACCTACCATGGCTTGGAGGCCAGTTCTACCCCTTAGCTAGCTGCATACCTGTGGACAGAGTCCTTAAATTTTCTCAGAGCAACTTGATGGTACAGGGATGATAACAGTAAGGACAAATCATTATTGTTGAGAACTGATAACCAGAATCTGAAGTATATTTAATGTCCTACATCTTTCACTGTAGGAGGTCTTTTCAGGTAATTATAGTAAAAATTATTCCTGTGGCCGTTTGTGTTTTCTCTGTGCAGAATAGATACCACAAGAGTTGAGTTTACCATCCCGCTGAGGGAGAATTGGGCTCTGCCATTCTTTGCAATTCAGATAGCAGCAATCACATATTTCCTGCGACCAAACTTACAGCCTTTTTCTGAGGTAAGTTTTGGTAATACTTTATATATTTTTTAATTATTCAGTTTTGTTGAAGAAGCTTCAGAAAATGTGATGTGCATGGTGTCCCATCGAGTGTGTGAATAGTTCTCATTCTATGACCAGTTTTTGAACTTGAGTTAAATTAAGTTTTCCCTTTCTGAGCCCTTTCCTACTTTGCAAAGAAAATGTTTTCATTTTTGATGTTAAAAATGTACCCTACATTATCTGCCCTCAAATAGTTGCAGCAAGCCCACACACAATTTCTGCGGAACTGTCAGAATCCTTAAGCCATTGCCCTTGAGATGTGACATGGTGCATTATCTCCTCCATAATACTGTGGAGTACACATACCTTATGTGAATATTTATACGCCCAGTGTCACTTCAGGATATTTAGAGCTTAAATAACAAATGCAAGGGTTTTCAGAGCCACAGTTTATGGTTTCTCTATTTGGTTTATGGAGATATTGGCTGCTCTTGAGAGAACTTGTCGGCAGGGCCCTTTATTACTAGAGACATGGAAATTACACAAAGGTTTTCTTTTTACAGAGGCTGACACTTCTTGCCATTTTCATATCAACTTTTCTCTTCAGTCTGACATGGCAATTTAATCAATTTATGATGCTGATGCAAGCATTAGTGCTGTTCACACTGGACTCCTTGGACATGTTGCCGGCGGTGAAGGTAAGCTTCGCTCTCTTCTCTCCCTCGAGGTAGCCGCCGTTTAGTGGTTTAGATGACAGAACGGTTCAAAATGTGCACATGCTTAACAATCAAGTCAAAGCTGCTTCTGAGTTCTAATGTAAATACGCTGTGGTCGATTTCGGTTGAGTAATCTGTGCAGCCTAGTTTGACCATCTTAACTTTTATTCTGTTTATCCTCCAGTAAAAGATGGATTTATCTGGAGCACAGATGTCTAGATCAGTTGTCCTTTACAGAGATGACTTAAATTTTAAAATATAAGATAGCTAAAATGTCTTATTATGTAGTGCCTTTGTCCCCCAAGGAGATCAGTGGGTATACAACACCTTTTTCGTGGTAACATTGATCAGGTATGAGGCGGGACTCCCCATTGCCTGACCAAAGGCCACACATGGGGCAGGGCCTTTTTTTTTTTTTTTAAGATTTTATTTATTTGATAGAGCACGCATGGGCACACAAGCAGGGGGAGCGGCAGGCAAAGGGAGAGGGACAAGCAGGCTCCACTGAGCAGAGAGCTTGACATGGTGCTCGATCCCAGGACCCCGGGATCATGACCTGAGCCAAGGGCAACTGCTTAACCGACTGAGCCACCCAGGCGCCCCCTCTGGGACAGCGCCATTTTAAGGAAGCCGTTGTTTGTCTCATGGTGTGTGACAACCGTGTGTGCTGCTATCATTTCATGGCAAGGGGTTTTTCACATGCAGAAATGTGTTTTAATGTATTGTGGATGTTGTAAAAACTCTTCATTGTTACTATTCTAAAGTAACTTAAGTATTTCCCAGTATCATAAAATATTCTAATTCTAAGGCAGCAAGATCATGTAATACAGAAGAGTCGCATTCATTCATTCCGTGTCAAAAGAGATGCAGCAATCTTTAGAGAATGGCTGCATCTGAATTAGGACACCTTAAGATCCGCCAGCAAGTGCGCGTTGTCCGTCTGCCGGGCAGTGGACAGGCACGACAGAGACTCGCCACCTGTATGAGACATCGTGTGTGTGCTATGGTGGGAAGTAAAGATGTGGACAGTTAGAACAACGAGATGTCCGTATGTCTAGAGAGGTTAATTGTAGTAACAGGAAGCACTAGAAGTCTAAGAAGGTTCGTTGTAGGCTAGAAAGGTTTCACAGAAGTGGAAGGCTCAAGCTGGGCCACAAATGAGAAGATGGAGTGCTGGGAGGGTCAGGATATGAAGGTAAAATACAGGAAGGAAAGCAAGTAGACAGCACAGCAAAGTGTGTGTTGTGTGTGTGTGTGTGTGTGTGTGTAGGGTATATATATGATATTTGATAATGGTAATGGAGCTCCAGGTGCCTCAGAAAGTCTCGTGTACAAATGAAGCAGAGTCTCTTTATATTTGCTTTTCCTGTTTTGTAACCTCTTTGGACTTTGATCATGGTGACGTGTAAGCTTCGGGGAAGGGATGCTTGGATGCCTTTGCATTTCTCCACGGCCTGCTCTCTGGAGCCGGTTGGTCTCCCTTTCTCTCTTTGTATGCAATAGCACGTTTCCCCCCTTTCTAGCAAGTACTTTCAAAAGAACTCTATACGTTGTCACATAAAAAATAAATACATTGAGCCATTTTGAAAATAACTATATAAAATTTTTCTACAGTGTAATTTCACAGAAAAGCCTAGAAATGTGTTTTCCCTTTCACTGACACTCTCACCTCTAGAGATTTAGCCTAAGGAAATAATCAAGCATGTTCATTTTAGTTGTACTTGTAATAAGAAGAAGCTAGCTGGAAAAAACCTAAGTCAATAGCAATAGGGTGTTGTTAAATAAATATGGTATATCAGTGTAACAGTATTATATAACCATCATTTTTCCTCTCTCTTTTTTAAAAGTAAAACACATATGGGGCACCTGCGTGGCTCTGTCGGTTAAGTGTCCAGTTCTTGATTTCAGCTCAGGTCATAATCTCGGGATCGTGGGATCAAGCCCCGCATTAGGCTCTGCCCTCAGCATGGAATCTGCTTGTCCTTCTCCCTCTGCTCCTCCCCCTGCTTGCACTCTCTCTCTCTCTCCCTATCTCTAAAATAAATAAATAAAATCTTTAAAAACATAAATAAAAGTAGAAAAAAATAAAAGTAAAACACATATAGGGAAAGTGAGAAAAGTTTCCGAAAAGATACACATTGAAGTATTAGCAGTCAGCTGACTGTGATTGATGTGAATGATGTTCTTAAATTCCTTTTGTCCTTTAAATCTTTTGAATTTTTCTGTAATGAACATGTATTACTTTTTCTGTTTTCTTTTAAAATGAAAAACAAAAAAAGATACTGTTGGCACACGTACCACAAAACTAAAGAATAATACAGGTAATTTATGTCATATTCAGTTTTACCCTTTGTTAAACTTTCATAGTTGAAACTATGTTACTATTAGTGGTAGTAGTTGTAAGTATCAAAATTTGAGGAGGAACAGTATAGTAATGAAAGAATCCTGAGTTGTAAAACCAAGCTGCTGCTATTGGGTATGAAAATAACTAGCTCTTTAAAGTGATTTAACTTCTTGGAGCCTTCGTTTCTTCATAAATTGGAATCACTGACCTCTAATCATGTCAAATGGGAGAGTCAGAATAGTTGGTATAAAAAAAGGTAATGCAAATTCAGCGTCTGATGTGCTGACAAGAAGCAGTATCCTCTTCAGTACATTTCATCTTTTCCTGGGTAATAGAAAATCTCTTACCATCAAAAGCTCAAGTTTCACTCAAAAATATGTCTAGGCTTTTTAAATATAGAACAGAATAGTAGATGGTATAAGGCATATACTTTGGCTCTGTTAAAGAATATGGAGGCTAATGAAGTTTTATTAACCCGTTGTGAAAACAGTAAGACACATGAATGATCACTACGTAAGAGGAAATTTTAGAGCACTCCATATGGTTCCAGACAAGATGGGGTGAATGCACTTCTCCCTGTTTCTCCCGCTTAGTACAACTAAAAGCCCTGAACAGTGTGTATAAAACTCACAGAAGAAGATTCGAGTGGGGAAGAAACGAAAGCAGGCTGTTTAGAGCCCTGGCGCCTAGAGGAAGAACACAGCAGTGAGGCCCTTAGATTTTCTTTTTGCCCCGTTTATCCCAGAGAAGGTGCTAGAAAAGTCAGCAACCAGGAAACACCAATGGACTCAGTCAGAAGCCCCAGGAAAAGCCAAAAGGACCAGGAAAAGGGAGGCAAGTTATCTCTAGCAAGAAAGAAAACATTCGGACATTAACTGCAGTACTTCGGCCAAACAGCACAGAAAAAAACTGCAGTTTCACTCCCACCTCCATTGGCAGAGGGCCGGTGGGGAAGCCAGACTCCCACCCTCACCCAGCTCTACCAAGCTACTCACTTTCTGCCAGGGCCATGTCGGAAGTCTGCCATCTCCCAGAAGCATCAGTGAGGGCCACAGGGAGAACCTTCAGCCCTCATCCAGTGGTCATGAGCTAGCCCTTCCCCCTTCCTGACAGGATGGTGTCAGAAAAGATCAACAGGGAAGCCGGGGTTTTTACCACCGCTCAGAAGTAACAAGCCTCCCTCTCTCCCTTCACTCTCCCCCCTCCACAGTCAATGAAGGCCGTGAGAAGAGCAGTTTAATGAGGCATCCTTTCCCTTCTCAGCCAGAAGCCTTGTAAGGAGCCTAAGCTTTCACCATCTCCCGGCAATGAGACACCCTTCTCCCCTGTCTCCCAAAAGTCAGTGGAGGTCAAGAGGAAAACCAGACGTCTAACCCCATCTGGAAATAAAGAAGCAGCATCCTTCTTCCCCCACTGCCATAGCACTGGTACGGTGTCAGAGGAGGCCTGCTGACACAGAAATTTTGAAAAGATCCAGAGTCCCATAATGTAATACAATGCAATTGAAGATTACTTCTTATACTAAGAACCAGGAAAAGCTTCTTGAGCGAAAAGAGACAATCAACAGATGCCAACACCAACACACAGAAGTTGGATTATCTGATGAGGAATTTAAAGCAGCCATTATAAAAATTTTTTCATTGAGCAATTACAGACACACTTGAAACAAATGAAAAATAGAAAAATGAGGAGCAAATGGAAATTTTAGAGCTGAAAAACTCCAATAATGACAAAAACTCAGTAGACAGGCTCAGCAGGAGAATGGAGTGGTCAGAAGAAAGAACCAGTGAACTTGAAGCTAGAACAAGTTAGAAATTACCTAATTTAAACAAGAGAAAATAGCCTGGAAAAAAAAGAACAGCACCTCGGGGACCTGTGGGACTATAAAAAAACTCTAATATTCTTGTGATCAGAATCCCCAAAGGAGAGAAAGAGCATGAGGCTGAAAAAAGTATTTGAAAAAGTGCTTTTCAAAGGAATATTTGAAAACTTCCCAAATTTCACAAAAGATAGGAACTTACAGAATCCGGAAGCTGAGCTAATGTCAAACATCAGATCTACCACTGATGATCTAGGACTTTCTAATACACAGTACTGCTCAATTTTACATTCTGGCTGTTCACCAACAATGTTTCTTACAAATCTAGGATATAATAACATTTATAAAAACTGTGCAATCTTGTTGTAACTTAAACTGTTCTCTTTTCTAGAATTATGCCTACTTGATATAAAAAGAACTGGCAACACCAAAAAACGCCATAACTCAAAAAAGGCAGACAAAAAACTGTTTTATTTTTTTTAAATGTATTCATGAGTGATTTGTTATCCTTAAAGAGGTCCTACAAATCAGTAAGAAAAATACTTACACCCCAATAGGAAAGGGAGCAAAAAATATTTCCTAGAAGGAAAAGCATCAAAAAGAATAAAATACTTAGGTATAAATTGAACAAAAGAAGTGCTTATGCTTATACTCTGGAAACTACAAAACACTGAAAGTTTTAAAGACCTACATAAATTGGAAAGATATCCCATGTTTATGGATTGGAAGACTCACTATTGTTAAGATGGCAGTACTCCCTAAATTGTCGTACAGATTCAACACGATTCCTCTCAGAATCCCAGGTGCATGTTTTGCAGAAATTGACAAGCTGATCTTAAAATTCATGTGGAAACTCAAGGGACCCAGAATAGCTGAAACAATCATGAAAAAGAGGAATAAATTTAGAAGACTCCCACTTTGCAATTTCAGAACTTACTTCCAAGCTATAGTAATCAAGACAGTGTGATACTAGTAGAAGGATGGACATAAATCAATGGAATAAAGTTGAGAGACCAGAAATAAATCTTCAGAAATAAACAGTCAATTTGATTTTCAACAAGGGTGCCAAGATAATTATGGGGAAAGAATAATCTTTCCAACAAATGGTGCTGGGATAACTAGATATCTACATGTGAAAGAATGAAGTTGGACTCCTCTCTCATCATACACAATAATTAACTCAAAATAGATCACAGACCTAGTTGTAAGAGCCAGAACTATAAAACATTAATTTTTTTTTAACTATAAAACATTTAGAAGACAGGAATAATTTTTTATGACCTTGGAGTAGGCCAAGCCTTTTTGTAAGGATCCAGCACCAAAAGACAAGTAACCAAAGAAAAAATAGACGAATTGGACTTCGTCAAAATTTAAAACTTTTGTGCTTCAAAATAATACCATCAAAGTGAAAAGACAACTCACAAAATGGGAGAGGATATTTGCAAATCCTATATCTGATAAGGCAGTTCCAGAATATATAAAGAACTCTTACAACTCTTTCAACAATAAAATATGGGCAGAAGATTGGGTAGGCATGTCTCCAGAGAACATATGCAAATGTCCAGCAAGCACATGAAAATATGCTCAGCCTCATTACTCATTAGGGAAACACAAATCAAAACCAAAATAAGATACCATTACCTTCCCCCCCCCAACTCAGATGGCTAAAATCTAAAAACAACAACAACAAAGACAGATGATAACAAATGTTGGCAAGGATATGAAGATGTTGGAGCTCTCCTGCATTGCTGGTGGGATTACAGGGTGGTGCAGCCATTTTGAAAAACAATTTAGCATCTCCTCATGTGTTAAACATAGTTACCATGTGATCCAGCATTCCACTGCCACATATATACCCATGAAACATGAAGACATATCCACATAAAAATTTGTACATGGATGTTTATAGCATCATGATTCATAACAGCCAGAAAGTGGAACCCACCCAAAATGCCCATGATTGGCGGGGTGTTGCGGAAATGATGAAGATGTCTTAAAATTAGATTCTGGTGATATTTGCACAACTCTATTAATACTAAAATTCATGAATTGTACACTTTAAATAGGTGAATTTTGTGGTATATGAATTATATCTCAATAAAGCTATTAAAAAAGAAAAGCTATTTCTTCACTAACCAGTAATTGTACTTTCAGGAAATCTATCCTAAGGAAATGCATTCCTTCATTCGTTCCTCCCATATTTATTGAGCCACACTGTTCTAGTGGGTGTTGTTTTAGGTGCTAGGGATACAACAATGAACAAGTTAAGGAGCGACAGTAGTCCCCACCCTCACCCCCCCACACACCTTATCCAAGTTTCAGTTACGTGCAGTCAGCCACGGTGAGCAGCATAATCCACCTTCTGACATACGTTCAGTAGTGGCCTAATACTGTCACCACACCTCTAGCACTCACCATCCTTCGTTTTATTACTTAGCTATTTTACCATGTCCCACCATCACAAGAAGAAGGGTGATTACAGGAGAAGATACTTTGAGAGAGACCACATTCACATAAATTTTGTACAGTATATGGTTATAAGTGTTCTGTTATTGGTTATCCTCTTACTGTGCCTCTTACTGTGCCTCTTACTGTGCCTCATTTATAAATGAAACTTTATCATAGGTATGAATACTATGTACAGGGTTCAGTACTCTCCATGGTTTCAGGCATCCACCGGGGGGTCTTGGAACATATCCCTGGCAGATAAGGTGAATGAGTGTAACCAGATACAATGATCTGAGGTTTTTTTTAAAAGGATGTTCATAACATTAATTTTAATAATGATAAAAAGCTGGGAACAATCCACTGGCAAACAAACTATGGCATATGGTAGAATGTTATATAGCCATTTAAAATTAAGTTTTCACAGAATAGTCATTGATGTGAGAAAATGATACAATATAATGTGAAATAAGTAAAATGATACATGAAAAATACACCACTATGAAATCAATATTATTTCTGTAGGTAATGGTGTTGGATTTTGATTTTAGAGCCCACCTTTCTATCCATTATTGTTTCTTTTTATGTTTTCCTGGATTTTCTAAATCTCCTACAATAAAATATTGTGTCTATAAAGATCCTAACATCCAAGTTTCTTTTAACACCAACCGAAAGCACTGAACCATTGCAGAGTGTGCCTTTAAATGCTTGATACAGGTTTGTTTCCTTTGAGATGAAGAAAACAAAACTAGGAGGGAAATCTGATTTGCTGCTGAGTAAAAGCAGAATTTTTCATATGCCAATAAGAATATGGAATTGTCCAACTTAAAAGAGGAGACCAAGTATCAAGTCTTGGGGCGCCTGGGCGGCTCAGTCTGTTAGGCGTCCAACTCTTGATTTTGGCTCAGGTCATGATTTCGGGGTCCTGGGATCGAGCCCCACCTCCGGCTCCACCCTCATCAGGGAGTCTGCTTGAGGATTCTCTCATTCCCTTTCCCCCGCCCACACACTCTTGCATTCTCTCTCTCAAGTAAATATATAAATCTTTAAAAAGAAAAAAGACGGTATCAACTCTTTATTAGAGACTGTCATTTTTTCTTCATGGCATATTTTCTGTGTTCAAGTTGGTTGAGTTTTGCGTCTTTCAGTATCAACCTGGCAACAATTCTTCTACACTAAGAGCTGTCTTTAATGAGTGCTCATTATGTGCTAGGCATTTTAAAATATCACCACATCCGGTCCTTAGGCCAGGCCATTATGGCAGCTCTGAAGAAGGTGTCATCATCCCTCTTCTACATAAACTGTGTCCAGCTCATTAAGGTCCCACTGCTGGTTTATGTCAGAATCGGGGCTGTAGCAGCAGGTGCTGTTCACCTCAGGGCTCGTGTTCTCGACCGCGGCACTGTGCCGCCTGCCTCAGGCCCACGAGGCGGAGAGTCAAAGGCCTCACTCCGGGAGCAGTTGTCTGTGTAATGGAATTCAGCACACACAGAAAATGAAGCAGTAAAGGACACAGGCCTGAAGTGCGGAACATTCAGAAATAACAGAAGATGAGAAAATACTGTAGACAGTAACTGTAAAAGAATTTAGAAGAAAACGGAAGGCTGCAGATCACATTTGCCCGTTTCCAGAATATATTTATGCCATTGTTTGCTTCCTGTGCTTCAGTTTTTCTGTTTGTTTCCTCCTTAATTAACGTTACAAAGTTTAAAGTGCTGTATATTTAAAAGGTAAACAGGATGTAAATGATTTGGTTTCGGGGACTTTTTTTTAGACTGAACTACTTGAAGCTAGGTGTGTTGTTTGTAACTCGAAATGTATCCAGCCAGTGGCCAACATGTCAGCATGCAGTAGTCTCTGGATAAAACCCATTTCACCATCTGATCTTTGCTTGTTGCAGGCGACATGGCTGTACGGCATCCAAATGACAGGTTTGCTCCTGGTCTGCATCCTTCAGTTTTTTAATTCTATGATTCTTGGATCATTGCTTATCAGTTTTAACCTTTCCGTATTAATTGCAAGAAAACTTCAGGTAGGACATTTTTGTGTCCTTAAAGCAAACTTTTTTTTTTTTAATTGTGCGGTTGGATGGGCCTCGTTTTCATACAGCACACAAAGGTGGATGTCTGAGCAAATGCACACTGAAAAGCACTGAAGGCATTATTTAGGTGTTTTGTCGGGGGGAGTGGTTTACATGCATGGTATAGCATTTCTGTTTTCTAGCTTTCTGATGTGCCATCCCTTTGTTGTGACATGTTTCTTTTCTTAGAGAATTGGAATCTTAGTTCAGGGATTAGCCAGAGATGCTCATTTGAATGCCATTGATAGAAAGTTGAAATAAAAGAGCAAAAATCATTAACTTTTTTTGTGTGTGAATGAAGAGTAAGAAGAACCTGTGGCTTGGGGAAATATGTTCGCCACAGTGCCTTTCAAGTAGGTGGACACCGTATTATTGATGTGTAGTAGCAATGCTCTTTACCCCAATGTTCCGTACCATGGTATTGATTTGTAAGTGAATTAAAATTAACTCAGAATTTTGAGACTCCAAAGACATACGTTTAGAACTATGGGGACATTTCCTAGAGTGTCACGTTTGAAAACACTGGCCTGATCTTTTGGCTTAATTCAGTAATTCACATTTCTTAAAGTTACATGAGATTTAATTAAGAGTCCATTGTTTTTCTTCATATAGTGTCACAAAGCCTGTTTTCTTTCTCAAGAGCATATGAGAAACATTTCTCACAAACACTTTTATATCAAGAAGCTGTTTTACTTTCTGCTTTGGGAAGAATAAATCCTTCTTCTTTGGAGTGAGAGCTGTCGTGGACAAGCTGTCACAACGACTTTTAATTCATCCTTCTAACTTTACTTATAAGTAAACAACATGCATATTGAACTCTTTAGATACTATATTTGATAATCTGTAAAGTTATCTAAGGGTTATAAGAAAACTATTACATATCAAAGAGCACAGTTTGCCTTTTTTTATACTGATAGGTCCTTTATTTAATTGGGTTATGGCCATGTCTGTGCTACATGAATTAATGGATCAATGATCGCAAGATTTGTTCAGTGTATTCTGAGTACCTTCTGGCAGACTCCATACTCTGGTTGCAAAGGTCTGCAGAAAAAAAAAAATAAACACTAGGACAGTTTTCTGATCTTACGAAACTTATTATTAAGGAATTCATTTACTCTTATATTAGAAATTTACAAATATTAAGACATTGTAACCTCATAAAAATTAGGTTATATTTTCCACATATTTTTCTCTATGTTGCATGATCTAATGTTTTAAATCCTTAAGTAATCTCATCTTAAATGTTTATGAAATAACTTAAGAATTAAAACTCAACTTTCTTAATTTCTAGAAAAATCTGAAGACTGGAAGCTTCTTTAATAGGCTTGGGAAACTATTGGTACATTTATTTGCAGTTTTATGTTTGACACTTTTTCTCAACAACATTATTAAGGTAGGTTAATAAAATGACCTTTAATTTACATTACTACAGAATTACCAGGTTTACTTGTAACAAGCTCAGCTTTAACTTTGTTTCAGTAAGTTGTCTTCTTGATATTTTAGTCACTGATTTCTGTTTACTCTTATTAAAGATTTTTTTTATCCATTTACTTGATAGAGGGAGCATGAGTGGAGGGGGGAAAAGCAGTTTCCTCATTGAGTGCAGAACCTGACATGGGGCTCGATCCCAGGACCCTGAGATTGTGACCTGAGCCAAAGGCAGACGCTTGACTGACTGAGCCACCCAGGCACGCCTGTTTACTCTTTAGTATGTTCTAACTTGAACTCACTTTTTGAGTTGTTAAACTTTGTAAAAGCTCAACTTTAAAAGCATTAAACAGGTGTTTCTCTAAAGTTAGAGAGCATTTTCTTATACTGTGGTACAAAAAAAAAAAAAGATGACATTATTTTTATTGGGTTAAGTTAAATAAACTGGCAGGGCACCTGGCTGGCTCAGTTGGTGGAGCATGTGACTTTTGGTCTCAGGGTTGTCAGTTGGAGCCCCACGTTGGGTGTGGAGATTACTTAGAAAAAAGAGATAAGTAAACTAATTTTACTATCAGAAGCACAGGGATTTATTAAGATGATTTTGCCCCTCCTAGAAGGCTGGTTTCAGGACAGGGGACATCTGCATGTGCATGACAGACTCCTTCTCTTCCATAAGAGAATGGCAGTCCCTCTTCCTGTCTGTATGACTATCAAAGACTCTCACTCATCCAGCTGCATTAAACACTTCCACTCTGGGCCCTCGTCCCTATGTTCTTAAACCCCATAGAGTTCAGTACTTATCAAAAGCCTATTTGAGCTGAGCAATCAGCATTTCTGAAGGATTGGCTGTAAGATACGCAGTTCATCCATTCCCCCACTCTAGATGTTCAGTCATCTGTGCCTGGATTAAGCCAGTGGAGAGCTGCCTGCCTGGACCATTGATTCTTGACTTCCCGAAGAATAACATCTATTGAATTGTACTTGATGTCTTGCCAACTATGTACAATGAGAGGCGTTAGAAAAAACCTTCTTTGAGACTCCTGCTGTTTTTGCTGTACCCATGGGGAAAATTTCTCTTGAGTCTCAGTTCTGGGAGTGTTAGGACGTCTTTTGAGCAACTGCTTTGTTTTAATCTTAGAACCTGTGCTTTTATCTCCCTCTGTATTTGCTAGTCGAATATGTAAACCCAAATTTGTGGCTCATCTCTAGCAAATGTATTTTATGTACTAACCTCACTTTCCAGATTCATCTTCTTTTCTACCTTCATTTTCCTTCTGAGAGGATTTCTTCACCCATTTATGTTGTATGGATTCTTATAAGCCATCTATTAAAAATAAAACGATGTGAATTACAATCATTAATGATGCGCACTGGCATTTGTCAGTTCCCCAGGAGGGCCACCACGGGGGTGTCGATTGTCTTTGTGTGGCTGAGTCTTCTATCAGTTGTGTCTGCAGACAGAAACCCCAAAGCCAGACAGGCCCTTTGGGCTCTGTATATGTGTGAGGTTTCAGATCATCCTATTACGGATATTCTGATAAAAAAATTTGTACTCCTACCGGGCTTCAGCCCTTTCCCTCTCACTGATACCCAAGAAGCTCATCTTTTATCTATTTTACATGTTGAACTTACATGTAAGATGGTTTGAAAAAATGATTCTGCTAAAAAAAAAAAAGGAACAGAGGGAGCTTGAAAGTCCCCGTGTTAGAATTCTTCAGTTCTAACAACTCTTGAGAATATTTGCTAATTTTATAAACCCATGTGCACACAATCCTATGAAACTGGACAATGAATATATGTATTCAGTGGGAAGTTATCAGGAAACCACGCATAAGGAACTTATAACAACTTTCATTTTCTCCCTCCCTGATAGAAACTTCTTAATCTGAAGTCAGACGAACACATATTTAAATTTCTGAAGGCAAAATTTGGGTTTGGAGCAACAAGGTATGACTGAATTTAAAATTTATGTTTGCTTTTTTATATTATATCAACAGGGACTTTAAAACTTAAGTTATCATTATGCCTTCAACTATTAATTCCAGGCTCATTTGAGGAAAAACTTGTGGTTTACTTATCTTGTACTGAATTTAATAACTTTGCTTTCTTTTCATTTGTTCCCTAGAGATTTTGATGCAAATCTGTATCTGTGTGAAGAAGCGTTTGGCCTCTTACCTTTTAATACATTCGGAAGGCTTTCAGATACTCTCCTTTTTTATGCTTACATATTTGTTCTGTCCATCACAGTGATGGCAGCCTTAGCGGTCACCTTCCATAATCTCAGGTATGGCATGTTTCAGAAATCTGTCCTATGCTTTAATGAACTTGTTCTGTGTTGCAGAAAAACTACACAGTTGAAATTCAAAATGTCAGACACAGACAGGGTAGCTCAACGGGGGATCGTAACCAGATTAGAAGGGATCCCATACTCAGTAGTTAAGGATCAACCAGCTAAGAGACAGCAAAAAGCAGGCAAGGCAGTAAAGACTGGTCTGGGAACAAGGTCCCCTTTGAGCCAGCTCTGCATTGCCCTTATTATGGAATGGGGATACTCAGAGGACTTAACTCTGCAGGGTTTTGTGGGGAATAAATAAGTTAAAACAATAGTACTTAGAATGCTGCCTCACTCCTAGAACATTTTGTAGATTTTAGCTGTCATTAGCTGGTATTATTACGGACTCATAGTCTCTATTTTGTTCTCATTATTAGTTTCCTGTTGTTTTTCTACCTTTCGTCTAGCTGCCTTTTTTATTGCTCCTAAAATATCAAGAGTTAACTATTTTTTGTTTTGTTGCATCTTGCTATAAGGGGCTTATAAAGTTGGAGTGGACCATAACTATTAGCATCCGCCGAAGTCTTCAGTAATAATTGACTGTCTAAAAAACTTAATGTGTCTACTAATCTGCTAAAAGAAAGAGTGAGGGAGTATAAAGACTTTTTTAAAGCTTGTAGAATACCTACCTACAAAGCTGTTGGAGTTTTTTGAATTTACTATCCATGTTCAATTGAAAGAAAATTAAGTGTAAGAAATTGAAGCTACTGTCATTTGTGAAAACTTAATGAAGCTCAGAAGGAAGCTCTTTTCTCTGTAGTTATCTTGCCAATTAAGGTGCTGGTGAGCTGTGATTCGCAGCCCCCAGAGAGCTGTGCTGGGAAAGGGCATTAAAATGAGTCCAGATCAGTTGAGATGTTTTATGATTATTAAGAGTGAAGCCACATTGAACCGTGAAAATATTTCATTGACTATAAACTATTTTAGTATCTTTCAGAAGTGTTCTTAGCCCGATACCTAGCCCAAGATAAAATTTAGCCCTGTGAAAATAGATGGAAATTATTCTAGACAGTGTAATTTAATATTATTCCAGACACGCCAAGTGTCGACAGGACTCTAGACTGCATGCAAAGCAGGAAGTTCAGTTGGCCTGCAGTATTTTGTGAAAATGTCTGCCATGCTCAGTGTGAATCTATGAGCCATCTCTGCAAGCTGACTTGATGTATGAATGTAGGTAAAGATTTTAGAGCATCCTCATCTACCAGGTAGGGGTATTAGAACCTTACTAAAAGAAAAGCATTACATTAATTAAAGTAATACAAGAATTATAGTATCTTAATATTAAATAACTTTTAAGTAATTTGAAGGATATTTTACCAATGCCAAGTATTTGAAGTATTTCTACCAGTTTAGTACTGGGAAGGATGATACTATTATGTTTACACAACACACCTGCATTAGTGTAAAGGATAGGACTCCGAGGGGATTAACTCATGGGCTCTGTATTCACGGGATTGATTAAGAGCTTTCCAGCTTGGCCGGGGAGATGGGGAGAGGTGTTGCAGAATTCTCTCAGGTACCAAGGGGAGATGAGAACATATGTTCTCCTTGTCTGCAGCAATCTTTTAGTATAAGCAACGTAGATGCCAGAGTTTGGGTTGTAATATATAAGATCTAAGTAAAGATTATTACCAGTGGTGAAAATTACTCCACAATATCAGCTTGATTCTCATGTGAATCTAGGGTGGTGAAGGGATTTCTAGGAAAGAAGAGTTCTTTAGTTGCATGGAAGCATCATACATACCCAGGTCTGTTGGATTTTATGAAGGGTAAGTGGGGCCTTGTAAAGGTATTGTTTTGATCTTAATCTGGCAGCCCTTCCTGCTGTTTGCTTATCCCCTTGACAACAAATGGTGCAACATCCGAACCCACTCACCCATCTCAGCGTCTCTAAAGTTCAGACAACAGGATAGGACAGTATGCGCTTGCCCGGTGTGATGCAGTTTAGAGCACAGCGTATCTATGCCCCATGCAGTGTTCTTGCCAGAATAAATGAACTTGACTCTAATAATTAACCTCAAGATCTAATTACAAGTTTATAAGGAGCATGGGAATAGAGAAATGTATTCAGTACCACCACAGGGAGACAATCAGCCAAATCCAGAAGGTGGGAGTAGTTACAGGACAAATGATACACTTCCTTCGACCAGTAAACGGCCTCCAAGTGGAGGATACTTGTATTGATTGAAAATAATTTAAGAGATGTTGATGAAATGCATTGTGAAAGCTGTGGGTCCTAATTCAAAGAAACCACCTGAAAAAAGCAATGGCATTAACGGAAAAGAGAATATGAATTCGGTGTTACATGATAAGGAATTATTGTTCATTTTATGGGTGTAATTATTTGAATGTAGCCATATTTGATTAAAAAAATCATGTCAGGCATCTTTAATGAGGTATTGGTTGGTTAAAATGTGATCATTTGTTCATAAGGGAACTGAATTCCACGTTTATGGATTCATTTTTATTTTTTCTTATTTGTAAAAACTTGTAAAATGCTAGTAACACATGAAATATCTTTAAAGATATCTTGCAATTGAAGTGATTCCAAAAGAATTTTTTTCTATTGTAATTTAAAGGGTGGAAGCATTCTAAATTTTTACTTAAAATGAAATTTGTTAAATTTTAGTTATTAATGCATTATGTTATATAACAGTTTTATCCTCGCGAATTCAGAATTGATTAATGCTGATTCATTTTATCTTAGAGCAGTAACATTTCTAAATACATGAAGGCATAAGTTTCTGGTATCCTTAAAAAAGATTTAACTAACTTAAAATGATGTATCTAGCTTCTATTTTGTATGTGTGCTGTTTTATTCAGTGATTCTACAAGGCAGCAATCCAGGGGTCAAATGGGAAAGTGCACGATCATCCTGAAACCAGAAACTGCCTACAACCTAATACATACCATTCTGTTTGGATTCTTGGCATTGAGTACAATGAGGTATTTTGTCTTACCTGTTTGCTTGATTAATTTTTTTATTCGACCACTCTTTACCCGACATATTTTAGCAATGCAACTTGGAAACTAACAGTCCTCTTCATTGATAATTATGGGTCCCATAAAAATGCCCTTGTTTACTGTCTTCTCCCGTACAAAATATCATGAGTGACCAGTTTATTCCTGATTACCAACATTCCTCCATTTTTACTTCCATGGTTTTCTCAAAAGCCAATGAAATGCATGGCTAACCCTTGGCGGATGGCTCAGATTTTCCTCCCACAGACAGTGCAGCTGAGTCACACCGCGGTGTGTCCGCCACTGGCACGGGTCTCTGTTCTTACAGAATGAAGTACCTCTGGACGTCGCACATGTGTGTGTTCGCGTCGTTCGGCTTATGCAGCCCTGAGATATGGGAGTTGCTCCTGAAGTCGATCCATCTGTATAACCCAAAGAGGGTCAGTGCTGTCGCTTTGCCTTCCACTCCTATTGCTACAAGTTTGAGGATTTTTTTCATACCAGTTACTGTTATTTCCAGTAGTTGCCTGTTCATCGGTCTGATGAAACGGAGACTAAAATTTGAAGCTGAAAATAGAATAACTGACACATTATGATTTTTTTTAATTTTAGGGAGAGAGCGAGCGCGAGCAGGGGAAGGGGGGAGGGGCAGAGGGAAAGAGAGAATCTTAAACAGGCTCCATGCCCAGCACAGAGCCTGATGCGGGGCTCGAGCTCACAGCCTGAGATCACGACCTGAGCCGAAATCGAGAATCCGACGCTTAACCAACCGAGCCGCCCAGGTGCCCCGACACATTATGATTTTATAAGGAGTTATTTTTTAAATAAATTTATTCTTTGTTTTTTAAATCCCTTGTTTTTTCCCAGACCATAAGTTAGATATGCTCATTATACTGAATTTGGAAGTACTGTAAGCATACAAGGAAAAATTAAAAATCACCAGTAACCCCATTATCCAGAGTTATCACTATTATTGTTATAAATTATACTTAGAACAAATATTAGTAAGTGTATGGTTATGATTAATAGCCTATAAATGCAGTTTTGAGTTGTTCTCCCTTATAAATTCACAAGGTGGCAATATGGTAGAAGCTATGAGTATCTCATGAGTGATTGGGACCCTTACATTGACGTGGTTGTTGGGCAAATTGGAGACTCACGCTCCATTAAAGTACATTTCTGTTGTTTTAAGAAGAAAAAGTCATGTGTTTACAAAGCAAAACTGTAAGGCAAAAATACCTGTGATCTAAATAATGTCTTTCTTATATAGATATGTATAATGCGATACTCAGTACCGATATTAATACTGCTGTATCTGTGCTATAAGGTAAGACTGATTTTCCTCATTCTTGCCATCATTAATTTAGCAGAATAATTGCTTTGACTCAGTGTACTCTGTATGTTATTGGCAAATAGAATGGTTTGCAGAGGTTACAAACATCTCCTTCGCTTCTCATGAAGGCACTTGGCATTGATGGGAAAACTGATCTGTATCCCAAATAGTATTTAACAAGTAAAAACAACTACAGTTTAATTTTTCTAGTTAATTTTGGTTCTGACTTACTATTCAGCTGATGCAAATTCGGAAAATAAAGATGTTTTCAGACCTATATTGAGGTGAATAAAGTAGAAAAATAATTTTCTCCTGTTACCTGCCTTATAGAGAGTAAGAGATCCTAAAATGCATCTTACTTTAACCTACGTATTTTATTAGACGGTTTAAATCATCTTTGTAAGAGGCTGGGTATATGTAAATATGTACAGTCCCAGATTAGCCTCATTAGCTATCCCTCAGTTTCAATAGGAAATCATGAAATTCTTCAGATTCTCAGTTGACTAATTTCTGAAATAGCTTTAACTGTGTTCAGTTCTGAGAACCCTCGGTAAGAGACAGGGAGTCACCAGTCAGGCTATTTGGTGACTTTTGTCCCATCTTTGAGATTTAGAGGCTTGAATCGATACCTGGGCAGGAAGCCCAGACTGTGCTATCCAGTTGAACCTTTACCCTCTTTTTTAAAAATCTGACATTTTTTTTTTAAGTTTAGATTTTTTTCCTTCAAGTTTGGTTTTATGTTAGAACAATAGATTTCCTACTCTACTGTGTATAGACCCTCATTTGGGTAGGGGGCTCCAGGGAGGAGGGGGGCTCACCCACGGAGAGGATCAGCTAGAGCAGCTCAGCTTTTGGTTTTATTTGCTTATACTTTCATGTAAGATTTTATCTGAAGCCAAAGGTTTTAGGCTAAAAATCATGTTTGCTAATCACTATATTGGATGATTCTACTGTAAATATTTCAGAAAATTACGCTCTATCATGTTCCTGTCTATCAAAGCATCTACTGTTGCAGGCAGAGCACTGGGCTAACTCAGATACTGGGAAACAGAAATAGGTTATTTCTTCCCCCCGCCTCTGGGAATTTTATTGCTCTAATTTAAATAAATGAAACTTGTTTAAAACCTCTGGAAAGCAACAACTAAAGATTATAAACAGAGTGTATGTTTAAAAATGAATGAGATACCTTGACCTCTCCACATTGGTTCTGAATGATAAAACACCCTCCTCAAAGAAAAGATTGAGCTCATCATGCTTCTTGTCTCTCACTAAGGACGGACGCACACGATCAGTCTTTTTTCCACAGTCTCTCTGTGCGTAGGCTGAGTGCTTAGGTCTCAGCTATGTATTTGGCATTTTATTGATTTTTTTACAGCTATTTGAGGACTTAAATCTCTTGTTCTTGGTAAAATTGAGCAAGGAGAGTATAGAAGAAATAAACTGAGCTATACAGCACTGGTTCCCAGAGTGTGGTCCCCAGAGAAGCAGCGTAGCATCACTTGGGAACTTGTTAGAAATACAGATCCAGACCAGGTCCCACTCCAGACCAGACCTACTGAATCAGAACCTCTGGGAGTGGAGTCCAGAAATGTGTGTTTTCCTCGGCCCTCTAGGTGGGGCTAATGCATAGAACTCGGCTTCTCGGCAGAGGGCTTGACATTCTGGGCTAGATTATTCTTTGTCGTAGGGGGCTGTCCTGTGTGTTGTAGGATGTTTAGCAACATCCCTACTCTCTACCCCCTGGGTGCCAACAGCACTTCCCTCCAGTCTTGACCATCAAAAATCTCCAGACATTGGGAAACATCCCCTTGGGGGTGGGGCAAAATCCCTCCACGCGCCCCTCTTGAAAAACGTTACTATTAAAAACAAAAAACAAAAACAGTTATAGCACCAAAACCATCATTTTACGAAATCTACGTAGACATTCTTTGAATAAGAGAATTAGTAACTCGGAAGACTCCCTCCAAAGATTGGCCTGGCATCAGCATTGCCCTTCCCAGTATAAGAAACCCCAATGCATCCAGCTTTCACAGTACAGAACAGTCTAGATAGTCCAGCCTCTCAAAATGTAAAATCACAAAGACAATTAAGATGTTATGTATAGTAAGAAGTACCGTGAAACTGAGGCTGTTTTCCAGCTATTGAACAGATTTACCTGCAAGTAAAATGAACTCCTGTATTTCAAAGCCTGATTTTGAGTTTTATGGAGCAATTGTAATGAGGATTTCCGATTTTCTTGTTGATAGTAGCAGTTTTGCTGTATGTCTCTTTAAGACAATCCTGTTTAAAAGGGAAAAGCATGTACTTCACTCTAAAATCAGGAGCTTAATAAAATTACTACTCTCGTGTTGATTAACTTACTGGCATTGCTGAAATCTCACATCATTTAGAAACAGCAGTTAGTTAATCCAACACTTATTTTCACGTTGTTTAAGAAGTTTATCACAAGATGCTGTTACTAGATTTGAACATTTTCAGAATTAACAACAGCATCTTCTAAGCTAGAAAAATATCTAATATCCATTGAATTCATAGATTTCAACATATGTTTTATACCAAAAGAATGAGGACATATCATTAAAAAGTTGGCCTTCTATTGATTATCCAAGTTAGTAGGGATAATTGAAATATTACACAGGTTATCACTGAGTCCCTGTGATTTACATCTCTTCTAAAACTCGGAGCCAGAAGTGCTGATTTTCTATCACCAGCAGTTTTCCTGGTTCACGCACCCAGGGGACAAGAGGAGAATGAGCACTAAAAATGGCCGAAGATGAGATGACAAGATAAGAAAGTGACAGGGCTGAAGCACAGCTACCAACGAGTTGGGCGCCGCTCTGGTTCTAGTTAGTGGTTCTGAAGTACAATTACTCCATTTTCCACATTAATGAAGCACAGACCCATTGGCAGTGGCCTTCCAGCATAGGAATTCTGCTCTTCACCCTAGGGTGTATGTAGATGATCAAGGTTTCTTAGCCAATCATCATTGGATACAGCAGTGAACATGTAATTAATTGTTGAATTAAACAGGCAATTATGTTAGAAAAGCCGTGGACTCGGAGTGGGATGTTTACACTCTCTGCATCACCTTAACTAACTCAAGTTGAGTAGGAGGCACTGGTGGCATAAATAGAATATTCAAATGCCCCAGATTTTCCTAGACAGTCCTACTTCCAAATACTCTTTTCTCCCATTGTACCTGCAGTTACATTAAAATACATCGAGGCATTTGTCCAGATTTCCAGTGCAGACACTGTAATCACAGTGAAGAGGGGGCTGGATTTGGAGTCCAGTTTCAAGTGGTAGCTCTGCCCCTTTTGACCTGGTCAGGTCATCTCCCTGAGCAAGCGTCTCCTGACTAGTAAAATAAAAAGTGAACAGCAGTAGGGATGACGCCTTCTGTGTCCACGTTCTCCCTGGGTAACTGCAGGGATGAAGGAGGTTCTGTGTTCCAGAGCACGTTTGTAGCTCCACAACGGTGCTGTCTTGTGAGGGCACTTTCTGTCTTGAAGGGTAGATGGCGCGATGGAAGTCAGAGTTGCTGGTACCCTGTGAGCTTCCTCGTGGTTGCCATTACCGATACCCAAATTAACGTTGGCCTAGATATCAACACCACATACGACAGCATTTTACTTTTCCTCAAATAAAAGCTCTTTTTTAAAAAGTTGACAACCCCTCTAGCCCTGAGCAGCTTTGGCTCAAGATAATTTGGGGGACTGGTCTCAGACGTTGGCTCGCTTAGGCCAGGAGGGCGGACTGCGGAGGTGAGGTCGTTCTGATACTGCTGTTGTCCTGTTGATCTAGCTCGCAAGTTCTATGCAGTTTCTCCTCTTTCGTTTGAACCTTAGTGATAGTTGTGGGCGCGGGGGTGGATTTTGTTTTTGTTTTTGTTTTGTTTTTAATTTCAGTTCTGGCCAGGAATGATGGATGAACTCTCCGAGTTGAGAGAATTCTATGATCCAGACACAGTGGAGCTGATGAACTGGATTAAGTAAGAGGATTTTTTTTAACCTTTAAAATGTAAAGTGCTTTTTAAGAGTCACCATAGACCTCATTTGGTGTTTTCTTTTTTCTGAATCGAATTGTAAAGATAACATTCATTTTCAAGTTTTTCTTTAAAACTCTGTATTTGGAAATAATTTCTTTCCATTCAAGAAATATTCTCTCTAACCACAATCTCATGAAGAAGGGAAACACCCCACAAAGAGAGGAAAACAGAGCTGGAGGATGTACTCCAGGCCACTGACAGCTGTGGAAAGCAAGCTTTCTACTCTTGGCCAATTTCACCTTTATTGTTGCTTTCCTTTTAATACCATTCAGATTTTCTGTGACAACTGACACATGGAAGTATTCTTTCCTTGTTAATCATGTAAAAATTACACTGGAAACCACAGTTAGAGTCCTACTAACTCCGTGCACATTTCATTTTAACGAAGTATATTGCCCAAGCCTAGGCCTAAAGGAAACTGAAAGTACAAAGTCTTTTCTCTCGAACATCGTCATGTTTAGCATTATATTGGTTCGTATTGTTGCCTGCGTTCTGTTGCTTTGCCTCAGCATCCGGCATCAGGATGAACTCTGTGTTCGTGAAACCGGCCTCCCACCAGCACATATAAACTTTTCTACCCAGAGCAGTATTCCTGTGCCCTGTACTACTGTATTTCCCTGCTTCATAACCAAAAAGCAGCAGTGTAATTATTCACATGTAAATACATGTCGCAAATCTTGTGTGACATATTCCGAAGGCATCGGCTGAATCGTCTCCATCCCTTACTTAGAATTTTAGTAGCCATATTGGCACTTGCTCGTGACTAATGTTGACTAACCAGTATAGTTTGCACCGCTTGTGTATTAAGAGATGGTAAATGTTTGATAGCTTAGGTCTCTTGAGTGCAATACATGGGTTTTATAGAGATTTATGTCTAAAATATATATGTGGCTTTGGTCCCAATGTCGGACTGGCTTTGACTGGATGCAGGGAGTATAATTTTTCATCTATTTCCAGTGCTGAGATTACGAAGCAGGGCTTTGTCTTTATTTATTTATTTAACTTTAAATCATGGCAGACAATTATAGAGTAAATAATTCCTTCAGTATTTATTGTGTATGGGGAAAGAGGGTTATTCGTATAAAGAAAAGCTAATTACTTTTGCATTAACTGTAGTCAGCTGGAAATTTATGACACGTACATCTGAAGGTGAGGCTGATGTTTTCTGTTTTTAAAATTGCACTCCCGATTCGAATGATGCAGGGCACCCACTCTCTGGTAGAATCCCGAAGCCGGCAGTTCTGGCAGATCTACCCAGATCATTGTTGTAAACATCCCACCTCCACTTCCCAGTCTTACGGGAATGACTTGTAACGTCAGTCAACACGCGTCCTGGCAGATCCCGGGTTTGGCAGTGTCGGCCTGGGTGTACTTACTGTAGAGCTTCTATTTCCGTGCTTGTCCTCACAGAAAGTTAAAGTTTCTGGTTCTGAAAAATTGTGGATGAGAGATTATATTCCAGGTGTAAAGAAGACAGTCTGTTAGTCTGTTATTTCTCTCATTTGGGAAAGCGATCTTTGTTCCTTACTTTCTCCTTTCATTAACAAGGTCCTCTCCCTGTATGGAGACATATTCTTTTTACTTTTTAAAAAATCCTCAGCAACTGGAAAGCTTTGTATTGTTCCAAAATGTTGGTTCCATTGTGATCTAATCCTGCTTGTTTTCCTCTTAAAATTCTTCAAATCCAAATTATTGTTTTTGCAAAAATAGCTGCTGGGCATGTTTGTGAAATAAGCTTAAGTGATGATGAATATATGCCAAAATAGAGTCTATTTAGACACAAAATTTATTTAAATCAACATTTAAATCGGCTCTGGTCTGTCACCTTCAATTCCAAACACAAGGGAATGTACTTAATATTCTTTTAACTCGCCTTGACTTCCTCTGTTTTGGAAACATAAACTCTGACCTTCAGCTTTCATTTTAGTACTTTGATCAGTCACGTGTGCCCATGACATGAGTAGGTCGGAGCTAGGCTGGAGACCAGGCTGCGGCCTAAGGATACATGGCGTGTGTCCGAAAGTCTATTTGCAATTGTCCGAGGGCGCCTCCAGGCCTCCGCTGGGGACCCAGCCCTGTCAGTGAGGAACGCCTCCCTCTCCCGGCCTGGCCTGTTGCTGTCCTCAGCCAGCCACCGTGGCAATGCCACGGCCATCCGCCAGCAGCACAGACGGGGGCGGGAGTCACCCTCCATTAAGGATGGCTGCCCGTGAGGATGCATCAGGATGAGAAACAGTGACCTGCAGAAACTCTAGGGGAACCTCGAGTGACCCTCCATTATGGCACAGGGCACCTCCCGTGTGAAACGTTGAGAGGAAGCTTACCCGCCATGTCCCGGTCTCTGCTTCGTGTACTTAGCGCCGGCCTTCGGCATCGCTCTTGTGCTCCAGGGACCCTGAGCTTCCGTTTGGGGATTAGGTCTTGCCAGGTATTCACTTGGGCTTCTCGGGGTTGGAGGGTGAATTGAAGGATTCCATCACCTCAGCAGGACTTAGTTCTTTTCTTTTGGAGGGGCTCGGGTATGACCTTTTATTGGCTAACCAGATAGCCTATTCCATTAGGATACCACTTATTAATATGAGAGGGGCCATACTGGGGAGGATTAGATTTCTGTGAAAATATTGAAAGCCTTAATACATGAAGTTATATCTGAACTTGTATACTTACGAATACAATCAAACAGCTATTTACTGAGCACCAACTATATATAGGACATGATGATGAATGTGTAAATGGGGTGGCCGTCCTTTTTTTTGTGAGAGAGAGAGGTGGGAGGAGGGGAAGATGGAGAGAGAGAATTTTAAGCAGGCTACATGCTGGGCATGGAGCCTGATGCAGGGCTCGATCTCATGACCCTGAGATCATGACCTAATCTGAAATCAAGAGTCAGACACTCAACCGACTGAGCCACCCAGATGCCCCTCCATCCATTTTAATACTGCCTCTTTGCTAGGGCAAATGTTGAGCCTCATCTCAGCGCCATTGTCTTCTTTTTTTTTTTTTTTCCATATTCTCATTGTTGACTCTATTTTAAGACTTTGAGAGGCTTACCAGGTTTCAATTGAAATATTTTTAAAGTTTTAATTTTTAGTACAGAAATGTCCTATCTTTAGTTCCTTAGAGATTTATTTTTTTTAAGATTTTATTTATTTATTTGAGAGAGAGCATGAGTGGGGGGAGGGGCAGAGAGAGAAGCAGGCTCCATGCTGAGTAAGGAGCCTGATGTGAGGCTTGATCCCAGGACCCCAGGATCATGACCTGAGCTGAAGGCAGATGGTTAACCGACTGAGCCGCCCAGGCGCCCCTGGAGTAGAGATTTAAATATAAGTATAAATTAAGAACACTTTGAGATTCAATTCCTCATTAACCAGCAAGGACATTTTGTTGAAATCAGCCCCAGAACCTTCCCTGGGAGAACAGGGAGGCCGTTCACCCCACCCCTTCCGCAATACCACCCGTGTGCTCGCTCACTTGGTCACCTGCCTCCCACGTGACACTGACGGGCTGCACACCTTGTTCATATTAACTCCTTTTTGCTGATAATGTTTCCCAAATACAAAGGTTAAAAACCTGATATGTTGGGCTTTTTGGTTTTTTGAGGTTGTTGGGTTTCTTTTTTTTTTTTTCTGTTCTGGTATCACTTTCAGCGAGCCCGGGGTGGTACTTGTTGGGCCTTCTCTGTGACTAGGAAGCACATTTACTTCCACGAGGCCAAACACCACAACAGCAGGCTTCATACCTCATTCTTTTGTGACCTCTGAGTGTTTCAGTCTCGGTTCCTGAAATTCTTCTCTAACGTTTTGCAGTTAAGACACTCCTATGGGGCGCCTGGGTGGCTCAGTCATTAAGCGTCTGCCTTCAGTTCGGGTCATGATCCCAGGGTCCTGGGATCGAGCCCCACATCGGTCTCCCTGCTCCACAGGAAGCCTGCTTCTCCCTCTTCTACTCCCCCTGCTTGTGTTCCCTCTCTCGCTGTCTCTCTCTCTGTCAAATAAATAAAATCTTTAAAAAAAAAAAAAAAACACTCCTATAGATTTGAATATTTTGAGATGTGACATTTTAACTACGGGGCTTTAGAGGAGTTTTCGCTAGCAGTAGTCTGTTTTCAGTGATGAAGCCAGCATGTGCAATATTTTCTCAATGGGACAAAGAAAATGGCCCAAACTTCCTTAGCATTTTATCAAAGCAGAAAGAATTACTGGATATTTTAAATATGATGAAGGTTAAGTTCAGACCTTAAATGCCTCTAAGCCTCTTTTATATTTAATGAATCATTTTGTGGTATTTGCATAATTCTATAAATTTTTGAAGTGTAGATAAAGCACATGTTCACACATTATATTATAATGCTCAGTTTACCCATTAGTTCAACAGTAATTAACTTGTTGAAGCTTAGAGCTTCAAAAATAAATGAGATTATTTGTTCAAAATGCCATCAGGTCTTCCTGGAATGACATTTAAATTATGTAATGTAAATCCGTTTGACCTGTGAGTCCTTGTCATTATTTAGTGACATTTCTTACAGAATAAATTGTTTGCAGGTTGGGCAGCCTGCTATAGAGCTTGGCAGAGAGCTATAAAAACAAATTATCCTTTCATTTTATACATCATTTGTTCAAACACTGGTAAAAATTGCTTTGTTTTTCTATAATAGAGAAGTGTCATTCAGTGGTTAAAAGCACATTAGCTATTTTAGACACAGACCACAGTCTGTGTCAGCAGAAGTATCTGGGAAGGAAGAAGAACAAGCATTACACCTGTCACACTGCATGTTTTAAGTTAAGGACAAAGAATGCCTTTCCCCTCTGCCTGTTAAGTTTACCACAGAAAATATGAAACACAGTGAATCTAGGTTTTTAAAGTTCAGAAAATGTGTGATTGTTTTTCATTCTGTTCCACTTTGCTTGTTTGTTTTACTTTGCATTTGCTTTATGGGTAAACTTAAATATTTAAAGTAGCAGTGAAATGTCCCAGATTTACTATGGGCTCGCACAGAAAACCGAATCAGTAGAAGAAAGCAAATAAACATCATCTCCGCTCTGCTTGGAAGTCAGTAGATTTCAAAGAAGTAGTCTTTCTAGTTCATTTGATAGGCATTAGGATACTTGTATTTTGCTCCTTTAAAATAAAACCAAGGACCTTAGTGAAAGACTCTGTGAACAATCCGGAAGATTGTTGCACCAACAGTTGAAACAGATTACATTACTTTTAAACTTCTGACTTCTGACTAGTGAGGCCAAACATTAAAACATGTCGCAGATGAGAGCAGTTTATTTCATTTTTCCCTCAGTGCCTCTCAGCAGTCATGGGACCCATCACCTTGCTCTGCCTGGAGATGACTGCTCTTTCGGGGACTGCACCCTGTGTGTTCTGTTTCCAGGATAGCTAAAGGCCCACAGAAAGTGCTAGTAAATACATGCTGGACTAACTACTTGTTTATTCGGAAGTGCTTGCCTGTAGTGGGAGCTGAGTCTGGCTCTGTTCGCTTATTAGCTAGTAAGCTTCTCGAAGCCAGGTTATCACCGTACGGTGTTTTGCCGGCCCAGCACATTGTAGGCCCTCGGTGCTGTAGTTTGAATAAAGAATAACTCTCTAACTCCCCAGCAAGCAGTTCAGGACTTGGGACATTTTAAACCTTTGTGAACTGTGTAATTCATACAAGTGGTATGGTCAGAGTCCAGGGAGGGAGATGAAACCTTGGTCATGAGCCATGAATAGACAACAGTCATCTGTGTCTGCCACAGTTACAAATGTAGACTAGCAACAGCTCTGTGCATCTCCCTGGTGCTGACCCCTGTTCTAATTCAAAATGGTGATGCTAAGACAGTCTGAAGATTTGAATGGATGTTATCAGCTCAGCTGTGTAGGAGGACCAGTTGGGCACCCTCTAGGCAGAAACCAGGATAGCTCAGCCACAGTTAGGTCTCGCCTCTACCCCACGCTCTGCCAGATAGGGAGACCAGACTTCACTCCTTCCTGCATTCTGCATCTGTTCAGGTCAGTGGCCCCAAAGACAGGCACTGTGGGGCATTTATTTAATATGCGGCATTATTGCATTATTTATTGCAGTGGAATGGTTTAAGCCAGTTAGGAGTATACAAAAAGAAAGACTGGCTTGGAAAAACGTTGACGTTTTCTTGAATTAGTATTTGCCCGCGCTTACTCGTCCTTGGCAATTCTAACACACTATGATGAGAACGGCCCAGGCCTGGGGCCCAGACTAAGTGTTTAATAAGGGTCAGTTGAATTAAACTAAGTATTTGTAAAATCTCCCGCTAAGGAGCACTACACCTTCACATGTTGTCATTGAAACCCTTGTGTCCCCCTGACCACATGGGGCTAGATACCAAGAATTCCCTGTAAATTGTCAGTTCAAGGGGACAGAGCAAACATCTGTCTGTTCTTGTGCTCCTGGGTCTGCTTGTTAGAACGCTCACAACCTACCGAGCACAGCCAAGCTAACCAAAAACTGTTTACTCTTGGAATCCACACCTTGGGCTCTGGCGTGAGTAAGGAGGGATGCAGGTTATGTGTCATCCCCAGGTGCCCATTGAGAAAGCTCCTTGAAATCCAAGTGAATGAGAGTGTCATTGTTAGAAAAGCCTGAGTTCTTCAAGTAAATTATTTGTAAGTGTTGCAACTTAAACTGTAGGATGTCTTACTCATAGGCATCCTGAGGCCTTTATTGGATGGCATTCACACTGTAGTCTTACCTTAGCATTACACTGAAGTGCATGGAACATCCTCGTGCCATATGGGAATATGATGGCGGCCTCTCTTAGAAATGTAGCACCAGAGTAAGTCTCTGCCCTGACCTCCAAAAACACTGAGGAGGACAGCCTGCTCTAGCTCTTTCTACAGAGCATGTTGCGTTTTAATAATTTCAGTTAGACTCCTTCTCAAAACTGTCCATCTTCTCACTCCCCCTGGCAGGCCGAGACTCCTCTTTCTGAGCACAGGAAGGGCACGTGTGGCCGGTGGTGCTCCCAGTGGGCCTCTTGAGGACGCGCTGCACTGAGGAGAGTCTGTAGAAGGGCGCTTATGTTCTTCACAATAAACTGACACCTTGTCAGTTTGCAAGGGACTCCCAGGTTCCCAAAAATATGGAATGAAAATCAACTACTAAAATTCTTTTCCAGAGGGAAAAGGAAAAATGCTCTTACTGTAATCGAGGAGTCTTTCCTTCATCCTCCTTCCTTGTCCTTCACACCCCACAGGGAGGCAGAGAATTGCAGCTCAGTGGCACACGGGGAGCGAGGTCATGATTTAATAATATGAGAGTGCCCGTATTCCCCCACGTTCCTTAGACTTTCATAATCAGGACTGAGGAAAGGAACATAGGAAATACTTGTGTTCCCACATCAGAAATGGTGTATATCCCCATACTGAGTAATAAATTACTTGCTTTTTCAGAATCTTCTGTGTTCTTTTGTTTTTATAAATTCTTTTTTTTTTTCTGGAAAGCAATTTATCAGAATATCTGTGATCTTTTTTTCTGGTTTTAAACAAAAACAAGGAAATTGTTGGAATTGATCAGCTGCAGTTTCTGGCTTTATAATTTGTTTTACTCTCGGCAGCCCTTTAGTTAACTTTAATACAAAACGTGATGACAGTCTTCTAAGTTCTTTTTTGTCAGAATCTTTTGTCAAAGAGTAGGAGAGGATTATGGGATTTAGCCTGGAAGACTTCGAGCCAGGAGATACCCACATCCTAAGACCATTTGTTATAAGAGTAAACCCAGCAAAACAGTGAATGAGAAATTTCCCAACCATTGTCAAAAACAGAAGTTTCATAGAACAATTTGAGTGCAAATGTCAAGGGACCTCCTGCGTTTTTCCCAAAGTCTCAGCCCTTCTTGACACAGCTGGGTGATTCTGGGAGTGTGATGTTGTCTTCATTGTTGTCTGTGAGGAGATCTTAGCTGTGAGGTTAATTCAGACTCTTGAAATCTTTCAGCTCTCACACTCCAAGGAAGGCCGTGTTTGCTGGGAGCATGCAGTTACTGGCCGGAGTCAAGCTGTGCACAGGAAGGACCTTGACCAACCACCCGCACTACGAAGACAACAGCCTGAGGGAGCGGACCAAAGCGGTGAGGACCCGGCCGGCCTTTCCTTGCCTTGTAGCTGATCAGAGCAAGTCGGGCCTGAGCCCCTGGGGCTGGCGGCTCCTGAGCCTAGACTTTGCCCTGCCCTGCCCCACGTCCACTACAGGCATCCATATATGTTCCCCTTGGTTGGAAGAATCACAGAAGAAAAACAGCTTGAGATGTACTGAAAAGAGCATTTGAGAACAAAGCTGTCAGCTTTTGAATCGGAGAAGGAAGGAAAAGGAGTAGGGGCACACTGGTTACTTATTTTATGGACCGTTGTGTGCGTGTGTGTATGTGTGTGTTAATTGGTAATACGGCCACATGGTTCAAACTTCAGAATAAACCAAAGGGAACTTAGTGAAAAGCCTACATCCCAGCCCTCTGCCAGCTACCGGGTCCCCTCACAGGAGACAAACAGTGTTACCAGTTCATTGTATATCTTTCCAGAGGGATTTTATGATATACAAATGTGTATACATACACACATGCCCCGTATTCATATTCTTTTCCCCCTGTTTTACAAGACAAGTCACATACTACATCTTGGTTTCTTTGGCACTTAATATATTTTGCAGCTCATTCCAAATCCGTATATTAACAGCTTTCTTGTTTTTAAATCTACAGAGATTGTGTTATGCAAATGTAGCATATTTTATTTAACCATTGGGGTTGTTTCCCTGTCTTTTGAAGTTATGTAAACAATGTTCCAAATGGCAGACTTGCATACGTATGACTCTGCACATCAGATTCTTCGAGGTGGACGCGCCGGGGCGGAGGGTATGGGCGTTTGTAACTGAGCGAGACAGACCGTCCTAAGTCACCCTCTGTACAGAGGATACCAGTTACGTTCCAGTCAGCGGTGCAGGAGGCAGCCTGTTTCCCCAGCGGTGGCTTCTCAAATGTTTTAATGTTTTCTATCAGTCACTTCTTAATCTTAGTCGCTGAAAATTTGCTGAAAAGTCTTGTTTGGGCCTGAGATTTAACTAGCCTAAAAAAGCACATGATTTTTACTAAATCCATTGGATTTTATGAGAATATCTGAACCTAGGGTCCTGCTAAAATGGGAATTTTTCAATTGGTGCAAGTGTTCGAGATCTCCCCCAGGTTAGCTGGAGGAAGCAGGGAGGGTGCCTGGCTCCCCAGACCCAGAGTTCAGTGGGCCGGTGGCCTGTGTGGCTGGGACTCGGGGGAGGGGCGGAGAAGCCACGGCAGGTGCACAGGGGGCTCCTCCACGCGCCACCACCTCCGGGACCCTGTCCGTGTCTGGGGACCGAGCTTTGTGCTCCCACAGAACTAACGTCCTGAAGGTCCTGGTGCCCTTCTGCAGTCGTGGGAACGCCTTCGGCGTGAGGCCCGCTGCTGGGCTCCGGCCAGGATGGCCCCACGGCGTCAGCAGCAGAAGCAGACCACCCGCCTAGCGTAGCGCCCATCTGTGCGGGCACGCTGGCCCTCAGCGCCCCGTCTCTTCAGTCAGAGCCACATCATTAGAAATGAGTGTGCCGGAAAGGAGTCAGCAGTCGTCTCCGCCACCCCCCGCACACATACACACGTGCACACACACACACACAAGACACATAGCCTCCTCCTGCTGCCAAGTCGCAGAACACAGGGTGCTCGCCATCTGTGTCTTCACGGAAGGGATGTGACGCTGGTGATGAGCAGGAAGGACGTGCCTCCCGCTGAACCGCCGCTGGGGGCTACAAGGTGCTCTTGCTCTGGGAAGGGTGAGAGAGAGAGAAGTGTAGGGTCTCCTGCTGCTCACGCAGGGACCAACCAGCCTGGCACCAGGGACCTGTGGCGCTCCTTCTCCACAGCTGCTGCTGTCAGAAGCTGGGGCTCCTGACAAGTGTGGGTGCCCCAAACTGCACCATCATGCTTAACGGACCCTTTTCGTCCAAGGATCTTTTTAGAGGTAGAGAGTGAGTCTCATTTACTCCACTGTGTTATTTACCTTTGGGAAGCAGCCTTAGAATTGGCACCTACCAATGAACAACTCCCAGTGATAGTTCTAAATCCGTATCTGTCGGGTGTCTAAATCCAAATGTATGCAGCATGCCTCACCCTTCCTTTTCTCAAGGCTGAGTCATGACAGTATTGTTTTGGCAGTGTCCCCCGCGTGCTGCAGATCTGTGGATGAGGGAGTGGCCCGCATGGAAACAGGTGTCTGGGTCTTAGACAACCCCCGTGGGACGCTACCGCATTAGAGCCCCTCCACTAACTTCCTGGCAGTTGAGTGGCATTTTTCCCTATTCCCCTTTCCTCTCATCGTGCAGGTTTATCAGATTTATGCAAAGAGGTCCCCAGAGGACGTGCATGCCCTCCTGAGGTCCTTTGGCGCCGACTACGTCATCCTGGAAGACAGCATCTGCTATGAGCGAAGGCACCAGCGGGGCTGCCGGCTGCGGGACCTGCTGGACGTCGCCAACGGGCACGTAAGCCTGTCCCCTCGTCCTGGGCGGGACTCCTGGAGACAGGGGTCCAGTCTGAACCTCTGTACGTTACAGAATGATGGCCTGAATCGAGTACCCAGCTTCACCGCATTCTGTGGGACTCCCGGCTCGGGCACTTCAGTGACAGCCGTGGGGACTGCTGAGGGGACAGATGCGGGAGCTTCATGTCAAATAGAGCAGCTCTGTCTTTAGCTGATTTGTATCCTGAGGCTCTGCATAACATCCATTTTTTAAAGCTTTGCTGTTAAAATCAGAAACAAAACCTTGACCTTTTAAAACCTACGCTCCAAAGCATCATTTTGACTGGCACGTGAGTGTGACTGTGACAGCGGGGCTTCCCTCCTAGGCGCTCCTGTCACTGTCCCCTTTGTCCATGGGCACAGTGCCACAGAGATGGCTTTCTGCGGCCAAGCCTCCACTCCAGAGCAGAAGAACAAGCTATTTCTCCCTCCTCCTTCTGAGGAAAATGTTTTTAGAGCTATGCCAGGTCTCAGATCAGCGCAAGCAGAAGATTTTCATCCGTTAAGAGGTGGTGTGTGCTATAATTATTTGGTATAAAAGCTGACAGATATTTTAAAAAATGAATGGGAAAAAATGATAAACCTGGCCTAAATCTCAAAAAAAAAAAACTTGACTGTACAGAATTGGAGATTCGGAACACCTAAGATCTACTCTCATGGCGAATTTCAAGTATAGGGTATTTTATTTTAACTGTAGTCACCATGCTGTACATTAGAGCCTCAGGACTCATTCACCTTATAACTGCCAGTTTGTCCTTTGACCAACACAAATGTACTCATTCACTTGATTGTGGTGATCATTTCACCATGTCTATGTGAATCAGACCATCAGGTTGCATCCCTTAACCATACACAGTCTGATTTGTCAGTTATGCCTCAGTAAACCCGGGGGAAAGAGAACATGAGATTCAAATTTTTGCCCAACTGTCTTGAATTCAGAGGATAACAGACCAAAGACATGCATTTAAATTTTGATTTGTGTTTAATTTTTTCTAACTAATGAGTTGGAGGATTTCCTCTGGTCATAGTCATTCTTCTCTGTACTTCATTTTTGTGAGAGCGACAGTGTAGTACATCCCTAAGAACAAGGAGATCCAAGTTCTTCTAGCTTTGCCATTAAAGGTGATCATCCTGTTACACTCAGCTCCCCTCCTCAGCCTTGATGTATACTTCCAAGGGGAAGTTGGACCAGATCATCTTTTAAGTAGCCACTGACATTGAAATAATACAATTTGTGTTCACCTAACATACCACTCTCAAAGAAACCCAACACCTATTCCTACTTCTCTTGTCTCCTATAAATATGATATTTCTCCCAAATTGTATTTGGTTTTGTTTTGGCTTTAGATGATGGATGGCCCAGGAGAGAATGATCCCGATTTGAAACTTGCGGGCCACCCTCGCTTCTGTGAAGAGATAAAGAGAAACCTGCCACCCTACACAGCATACTTCACTAGAGTGTTCCAGAACAAAACATTCCACGTTTACAAGCTATCGAGAAACAAGTAACCAAGCTCTCTGTTCAACCTCTATTTTTGATACGTGAAAGTCCATCCTAATGAAACCAACAGTAACATTTCATATGTCGTTAGGTAGCCTGTAGCACAATGCTGGGATGTGAGTAAGTTGTAGAGATGTTTACACAAGCGTCACTGTCCTTGAAAGTATCTTACACAAGCTTCTGTCTTTTTTATCTTGTTTCATTAATGTTCTTTAGCCTAAACTTCTCAACTTTCTAGGAGTGGTCTAGAATTTCGTTGCTGGGGAGAATACCAAGTGGGCCACAGAGGCCTGAGCAGCCACGCATCATGGTGGAAATCCAGAGGCTGTTCAGGATTGAAGTACTGTTAATTGACTTCAGACAGCTATGGTGGAATCGAATTAAGGGGATGCATAATTAAATTCTTTAGTGTTGGTTCACTAGTGAAGACCAGTGGATGGCTTTTTACAAAACTCCTTATCATCCTGTTTCACCTAAAAATTCTATGATGTTTTCCAACTGTCATGCTTTTAATATTTTTTTTAAAAATCATGTTAGGTCTTTGTACATATCTAAAACTTTTTGTTGTGCCCTGTCTGAAATGGAAAGTTTAGCACCTCAGTATATGAGTCACGTGTCGTGTGTGTGTACGCGCATGTGGGTGCATGTTTAAATGCCAGATACAGGAAAGTGTGACAAATTCCTTGTTGTAAGTCGTGACAGGAGCAGAAATGTGATGTAGCCAAGCAGGTTTTGTTACTGTTTAGTGTTATTTTAAAACCTATTGATACTATTTAGCCTATCCTGCAAGTAAGAAAATTTTTCTTCATTTCTTACTCATTTAAATTTACTGGGTTTGCAAAATTTTCTAAACTTTTTGTTTTTAGCCTTTGTATTTTTTACAGCCTAGAACCTTGCAAAGTCTGAATATTTTTAAAATGTTCTATCTTAACTAATTCATTAATACAGTATTTTTGGCAGAGAGCATTTTCATACCAAATTTGATTTGTGGTCTCCAATCTTACTGTGAGGGCCTGGGTAGTGTTACTGTTTTTCTTACTAAAAGGTAACCAAGTGCCTCTAAGTCATGCTTATTTGTAAACAACAAAGAGGATTATGTATACCTGTTCAAAAATTTTTTGATAATTGCTTTTATAATTAATTTCTAATGAGGGGACATGTAAAAGCTGCTGATAAAAGCATATTGCACATTTAATTAAATCAAGATGGGTAATGAAATTAACTTTCTCCCCTGTTCTTGCCAGTTGGAAATGATGTAAAGGTTTCTCCTTGCAGTTGTACTGAAGTAAATTACCCTAGGCATCAAGATAGATATATCACATGTTCAAATTATTTCACATTCAGTTACTACTTATTAAACAGTATTCAGAAAGAAATGTTACACTGTCATGTCGGACTCCAGGATACTTGGCTTTTTTATCAAAACTTATTTAAATAAAAAAAAATTGACACTGGCTGGGTTACTAAATTATGCAGCTGAAACTCCTGAATTATGTCTTTCCTGTATCCTGTAATAAGGTTGGAGACCACTGCAGTTTAGGATAATACAATAATAAAACACTGTAATCAGTACGAAAACTTCAATTAAGCCAGTAATGATGCATGCGTGGTGTGGCTGACAGCATGGGTCAGTACTTCCTTCGGCGAGTGCCTTACTCCTAATTGAAACGAAGCACATGTAAGGTACATGTTAGACCACGTAGTTTTTTTTTCAAGCCCTCTATTACCTTCCTGATAGATTCTGGTTTTATTTTAACTATTTCTCTATATGCACTAATCTAAGCATTTGGGTATGTGGAGTCTCAGTGTAAGAAACATGTACTTAAATTTGTACACTGATCATCACCGCCTTGATGGCACACAGGGATCTCTTTCTCCTAGTTTAGGTGCCGTTGTTGCCAAGACGCTGAGTGTTGAGTCTTCAGTGAAAAATATAAAGTGCCAAAAAAAAAAAAAAAAAAAGTCTTGCAAGACAAAATCCATGCATACGCTCTTTCCAAGACACTGTGACCATGTAGACATTTCTCTTTTCTGATGACCAAGTCTGTCAACAAACCATGTTGAACATTCTTAGTGCTCATCAGTTTCTCTTTTACAACCTTCTCGTTGGAGTCCACAGGAGGAAAGAGGAAGAGTGACTACTCCTGGCCCTCTGCCAAGCTGGAGCACGCCAGCCAGGGCCTTGGCTCCCCGCCACGCAGGTCACAGCGGCTGTGTGAATATTTGGTAATAGCCTCAGGTTGTGGCTGGGTTTTTTATGGGTAGAATAACCACTTGATTTTGCTTCAGAGTTAGCATTCAGAAGAACCTCTAAGTACAATAAGTGCTCTTACCGATCCTCTGCTTACGTGACTCACCAGATTCCCCGACAGTCTCCATCCGTCCTGTGAGCTGACTGACCCGGCCGTTCCCCGTGTCCCCTCCCTGCTGTGTGCTCGGTGCCAGTGCCAAACTGCTCTGTGCCAGTTCTCCTTCTTGTTGTGAGGACACAGTTCAACACAAACTAGGAAATCGGGGTGGAAAAAGCTATTTCTGTGAACATTAACTGGAATGCTTTGGTAAGGTTTGATAAAGGTTGAGTTGCTGATAAAAATTGCTTTTAAATAAATTAGGTGTGGTTGGGAAAATTCTAAAATATTGGGAAAACATAAAATTCAAGAAAATTTCTGAGCTTCGATTGCTTTATAGATTTAAGTACTCGCTCCACCTTTAAAATATCTAGACTGACCAGAGGTATTAAAATGTACCCAAACCGTATTACAGGTATGATTTCTGCAAGCATAGAACTGGAACCATTGAACCCTTATTGCAAAGGAAAGACCCTGGCTTCACAGCAGATTAGCAAATGAATGGACAATTATACTTTTAAAGTTATGATTCCCTACTTAAATCTACTTACTTCATTAAACGACTTCATTAAATGACTGATACTGATCACAGTGGCTAATAGAGATTCTACTACAGTTGAAAGGTTCCAGTTACTCTTTTATTACAGACTTAAGAAATAGGGATTCATTTCAGATATAAGAGCCAGGAGCATAATTAGGTGTTATCTAAGCCATCTGTTGTCCACTTAGAGATGATTTTCTTAAACTTTGTGAGGTCAGCTAGGGGTGTGTGTGTGGCCGTGTGTGTGTGCGCGTGTGTGGGGTGGGGCAAGGAAGATGTAGATATTTCACCTGGTCTGCATCTTCACAATTAACTAAAAATGTTTATTCTGATTCCACGTGAACTTTGTCTAAGATGTACCAATTTTAGCTTATCTTTGGCCAAATCCTACATGAGTTAACATAGAAATACTCCATTTTTTAGATTTCATTTAAATCTTGGAATTAATAGGAAGGTATTAAAACATTTTCAGATCATGTATCTTGGTTAATACGCTCCTAAATGCTTTATATATGACAGCCTTTTGGCCCAGAAGAGAGTGCTTATCTGTTGATGGAAAAAACTTTTAAGATGAGAGTAGCTTGCTTTCTTATGGCAACTGGCAATTGACTTTCTGTATTTAACATCCTCTGGATAAAATCTTACAAAGAGCTTTTATAATTTGTTGTATTGAGTTGTATGGAGATTATATACTAAATAAAGCTCTTTTAAAGTACACAAGATGAGTGTTTTTCCTGTCTTTGAAGGTCAGAAACCAAGGAACCATCTATTAAAGTGTATTAAGTATGTGCTACATGGAGTCTAGTCCTTAAAGATGAATGTGCCAAGATCTTGGCTGGACTTGCTAATGTCATAGGAGTTTATTTTTTCATGGAATTTGGTTTGATAGCTGCTTACTTGTTTCACTTGAACCTCAGGGCTATAGTATTTCTGAAGAGAAGAATTTATCCTCAAAGAGGTAAATGCTGTTTGTTTTCACCTCTGGAATTCTTTTTATTTTTTTATTTTTTTATTGTTATGTTAATTACCACACGTTACATCATTAGTTTTTGATGTACTGTTCCATGATTCATTGTTTGTGTATAACACCCAGTGCTCCATGCAGAACGTGTCCTCTTTAATACCCATCACCAGGCTAACCCATCCTCCCACCCCCCTCCCCTCTAGAACCCTCAGTTTGTTTCTCAGAGTCCATCGTCTCTCATGGTTCATCTCCCCCTCCAATTTCCCCCCCTTCATTCTTCCCCTCCTGCTATCTTCTTCTTTTTTTTTAACATATATTGTATTATTTGTTTCAGAGGTACAGATCTGTGATTCAACAGTCTTGCACAATTCACAGTGCTAACCATAGCACATACCCTCCCCAGTGTCTATCGCCCAGTCACCCCATCCCTCCGACCCCACCCCCCACTCCAGCAACCCTCAGTTTGTTTCCTGAGCTTAAGAATTCCTCATATCAGTGAGGTCATATGATACATGTCTTTCTCTGATTGACTTATTTCACTCAGCATAATACCCTCCAGTTCCATCCACGTCGTTGCAAATGGCAAGATCTCATTCTTTTTGATGGCTGCATAATATTCCATTGTATATATATACCACTAGTTCTTTATCCATTCATCTGTCGATGGACATCTTGGCTCTTTCCACAGTTTGGCTATTGTGGACATTGCCGCTATAAACATCGGGGTGCATGTACCCCTTTGGATCCCTACATTTGTATCTTTGGGGTAAATACCCAGTAGTGCAATTGCTGGATCGTATGGTAGCTCTATTTTCAACTTTTTGAGGGACCTCCATACTGTTTTCCAGAGTGGCTGCACCAGCTTGCATTCCCACCAACAGTGTAGGAAGGTTCCCCTTTCTCCGCATCCCCGCCAACATCTGTCATTTCCTGACTTGTTAATTTTAGCCATTCTGACTGGTGTGAGGTGATACTTCATTGTGGTTTTGATTGGATTTCCCTGATGCCAAGTGATGTTGAGCACTTTTTCATGTGTCTGTTGGCCATTTGGATGTCTTCTTTGGAAAAATGTCTGTTCATGTCTTCTGCCCATTTCTTGATTGGATCATTTGTTCTTTGGGTGTTGAGTTTAAGAAGTTCTTTATAGATTTTGGATACTAGCCCTTTATCTGATCTGTCATTTGCAAATATCTTCTCCCATTCTGTCAGTTGTCTTTTGGTTTTGTTGACCGTTTTTGCTGTACAAAAGCTTTTTGGTGGGGATGCGGAGAAAGGAGAACCCTCCTACACTGTTGGTGGGAATGCAAGCTGGTGCAGCCACTCTGGAAAACAGTATGGAGGTTCCACAAAAAGTTGAAAATAGAGCTACCATACGATCCAGCAATTGCACTACTGGGTATTTACCCCAAAGATACAAATGTAGGGATCCAAAGGGGTACATGCACCCCGATGTTTATAGCGGCAATGTCCACAATAGCCAAACTGTGGAAAGAGCCAAGATGTCCATTGACAGATGAGTGGATAAAGAACTAGTGGTATATATATACAATGGAATATTATGCAGCCATCAAAAGGAATGAGATCTTGCCATTTGCAATGACGTGGATGGAACTGGAGGGTATTATGCTGAGTGAAATGAGTCAATCAGAGAAAGACATGTATCATATGACCTCACTGATATGAGGAATTCTTAAGCTCAGGAAACAAACTGAGGGTTGCTGGAGTGGTGGGGGGTGGGAGGGATGGGGTGGCTGGGTGATAGACACTGGGGAGGGTATGTGCTATGGTGAGCGCTGTGAATTGTGCAAGACTATTGACACAGATCTGTACCTCTGAAACAAATAATACATGTTAAAAAAAAAGATAGCAGGAGGGGAAGAATGAAGTGGGGGAATCGGAGGGGGAGATGAACCATGAGAGACAATGGACTCTGAGAAACAAACTGAAGGTTCTAGAGGGGAGGGGGGTGGGAGGATGGGTTAGCCTGGTGATGGGTATTAAAGAGGGCACGTTCTGCATGGAGCACTGGGTGTTATGCACAAACAATGAATCATGGAACAGTACATCAAAAACTAATGATGTAATATATGGTGATTAACATAACAATAAAAAATTAAAAAAAAAAAACATTACAGATATACTGTCTGTCTGTCTTGTAGTCAGAAGTCAGCATGTCTCAGCTGTTTCTCTGCCTGGAGTCTCAGGACGAGGAAAGCCAGCCCCCCTCTGAGGGCTCTAGGGATGAGTCCACTTCCAGCCTGATTCAGGTTGTGGGCAGAATTCAGTTCTATGTGTTTGTGGAACCAAATTTCTCATGTCTTTGCTGGCTGTCAGCTAGGGACCCCCCTTAGCTACTAGAAGCCTCCCTGGGATCCTTGTGCACAGCCCCCTCCATCTCAGACCCACAACGGCGCACTGGCTCCCCACCCTGCTGCACCACTTTCTACTTCCTCTCTGCCACATCTTCGTGCCTACAGCTGGAAAACGTTCTCCACTTTAAAGGGTGTGCAGCATTAGATTGCACCCACCAGAAA